TTTGAAGACTTGTGGAAGTGGCGGCCGCTCCTCACCGAGCCCGCCGATCCCATTGAAACTGACATAATCATTGCCACGCCTATTCGCGACAAGAAGTGGTGAGAATTCATTGGGCTGTTCATCTGCTAGGACCATGGCCTTTTCTGTGAAGCTCCTCGGCTGTTTTTAAACTTTGCGTTAGTGAACTTGACTGGTTTGGGTACACCAGCACATCTCATGAGATGTCTGCTGCTACACCTTAGTTGCCAGTGGCTTGGCGCGTTTTCTTTGGGCGATGTTTCCAGTCAGCTGCTAGCTGAAGACCTCGTCGGGAATGTAGTGGAGCATATTCGCATGCAACGCATCAAGAATGGCAACGACGTTTCCTTTGAGCATCGCGAAGAAATGTTGTCTAAGCTGACTTTTTATTTGGACCTTTTAGAATTCAGGTGGATCTTGAAATGAAACATGGCTTTGGTGGCTGCCTTGCAGCCACTGTATCTCCCCATCAAAGTTTCTAGATAAGTTTATATGCCAAATGCGTTCGTGGTGGATAATATCAGCAGCTGTGTAACAGCTTATTCGGATATTTATGTTTGCTTCTGTTCCAGGCTTCACCTAGACGAAGCTCACAACCCGGGGCCGCCAGATAATCACATTGGCTGGTCAAGTTTCCCAGAGGAAATGGCGGATGCGAACGCATCTGCAAGAGCTGACTATGACTTTTTCGACGCCGTGCAGGCTTCGAATGTGCCAGAGTCCGGAGATGGAGTGGTGCCAGATCCCGCCATTCAAGGCGTAAGCTGTTGTTGCATGTTCTTGTCTGAGAGGAGTTTTGGGTATTGGCTGATGGTTGGTTGCGTAATGCTTCTCTCCAGTTGCTTGCACTGCGTAGGCGAGCTACGTTCTTAGCTACATGGGAATCTGAAGGTGCTTGCACTGTATCTTCCTGTAGGCTCTACAAATGATGGGTGAAGGATATAGTGACTTCCAGGAAATCTTTGCAGCTGACCCTCCTCCAGGAGGTTTCTACGACCCGTTCGTTGTGACAGACGAGGGGACGTATGTTGCGCCGGAAGTGAGGCTTTTTCTTAGGAACACTTTTGTAAATATTCCAGCTTCCCTCCTAGCGTCTTCGAGAGAGTTAGTAGTTCTCCTTTTCACAAGCCTACCTGCCCTTTAAACGTGTTCCCTGTAGGAATGGACGGATCCAATCTAGTAAACGGTGTCTTGTGTTCGTGCTGACTCTATGTTCAGGATGCCGCCCGCTTGGGAGGTCAACAAGGGGGCTACTTACATTTGCAGACACCAGCCACCCCCTCGGGTCCGCCTGTCTACCAAGTACCCCTCAACCCTGTTGATGCCGCGAATGCGGCCATGGTAGATTACGACGCAGAACAACGCCGTGCCGAACAGGAGGAAGCAAGGCTAGTGAAGGGATATATGGCTGGAGGAGGCCACACTGGGTGGTTCAACGGTGTAAAAGGAGCCAGTGGTGGAGATCATGTTGCCCCATCAGGCCTTCGCTTCAGCGTAGAGCCGCAAAGTGCTGCAGGCATCCCATGTAGATCGTGCAGTAACGCTTCCTTCGAACTACCTGCGAAGACAGATCGTGCAAAAGAACAGCCGCCCACGAAGGCGTGCAGCAGGGGAGCAGCTCTTGGGACAAAGGGGCACAGAGGAAATAAGCGTCACACGCTAAAGGCACTGCAGCGCATGCTGCAGCAAGCTGCTGCAGAGGGCTTCCGCCTTTTGCAGGTCGCGATGAAACAGCAACGGGCTGGCAAGGCAACAGCTGAGAACCGGTCATTCTTTGCAGGCACCACGGCTGCTGCTGCTGCTGCAGCGAACGGCAGCAATTACTGCAGCGTAGACGCCTCGCCGACTCCAGTAGTAACGGATTCCCATAGCAAGACAACCAAGGCAAAACCAAGGAAGGGGGGAGTGTCATTAGAGAAAGTCGCAGGACAAGACACCTCCATGCAGCTGCTGCAGAGCCTAGCGCAATGCTCGCAAGAGCTTGCCAAGGAGCTGGATGAGCAAATTCGCAAGGCAAGAGGGCGCATATTCCCTTTTGTCAGGACGCCTCTCCTTTCGCGGGTGAAGCGCCGTGCAGTACTTTCTTGGCGGCGCTCGGCAAGGAACCGGAAACATGGCAAGAGGCAGAACCGGGAAGCCCAGTCTACCATGCGGGCGGCAAGCTGCAAGCACTCACTTCATTCTCTCGCTGGCATTTCAAGGAACACGTTTGAATCTGCGAGTTCGAGTAAGGAAACCAATGAGAGGAAACGCGCCCAGCTGCTTCTCAAGGAAGAACTGAGACGCAAGGTATATGAGCAGATGGAAGCCCGTGCTGCCACTGTCCAGGCACAGCAGGCCAGCGCCGAGGCAACTGAGATCGCGTCATCTGCTGAAAACGGAGGACATGATACAACTAGACAGTCGCGGGTTTTTAAAACGGGCTTTGACAGCGAACCCCCGTCAAGCCATGGCTCATACGACACTGCGTCTGAATACGAATCTTCGGATTCAGCCCCAACGGAGGCATACGTTTCTCCAAGCAGCAGTTCCAGAAGCAGCAGCAAAAGAAGTAGCAGCAGGTCAAGCAGTGAAGGTGAACTTGTGGAGGAAATACTTAACGACCATACTTCTGCAGAGCCGAAGAAGGATCTGCACGCCACAGGCCGCGATCAACACCCCAGCAGAAGCAGCAGCATTGCAACAGCTGAGACGACTGCTCGTCGCGCCAAAGGGGAAAGTTCGTCTGACGCGTCGACAGATTCAACGGGGAGTGATCAAGCGTCATTTCGTTTGCTTAGCAAGTCGAGCAGAAGGGAATCCAAGAAGGCTGGATTTCAGTGGCTAGCAGGGTACTCTGCAAAGCAACACACCAGGCAATTCGAGGCGGCACGCAGAAGACGAAAACCTTACTTTGCGGTCTCGATGACTGACCCCGTGAGGAAACCCCTTCAGCAACACTGGGAAGATGCTGAGGACTTCCACCAGGCAATCAAGAAGGCTCAGAATCATTCTCCTTCGGCAGTGCAGCTTGCACATGGAAACAAAAGTGTGCTAGAGTCACCAGAAGGTGTTGACTTGGAGGCACAGCGTGCCGGATCTTTTGTGAGCGAAAGAGGTACTCTTGACTCTTTGCCCGACAGTGACGTGTGCGAACCTTCAGCCGCTTGCCAGCCTGGACAAGAGCTGCCGTTGCTCGTCTCCCCTCCTCTCACAACGCTGAAGAGGCGCATTAGGAGCAGTAGCAACAATCTCGACGGAAATGCCAGTCGAGGGGCCACCAGCTGCGAGTCCCTCGCCGCATTTGTCGAATCTCTTGCGCCAGCTGAGGATCCAGTTGCTGCAGACTGCATCCAGCTGCGATCCAGAGAAGCACAAACACCGCAGAAGAATGCGCCAATCAACACAGAGAATCGTTCAAAGGAATTTCACTGTGTAGTTCCAGAATATGGAGAAGAAGTGCTTCCATCGATGGCGACAGGGGGATTGGACGGGGGAATATCTGCACGCATGCAACAAGCGTACGCCTCTTCCTTGCAACGGGCAAGAAATTCAGTACTCTCAGGAAGCATGCGGCATGCTACCGCCACGTTGGTTTCCTCAACGAAAGCAAAATGGTCAGCTTCCTCACTCGCAGCACTGGCAAACCGTAATGCAGACCCTTCACTTGTTCTCACCAGACTTCCTGCAGGTTCACGCAGCAGCAATGGCGCCATTAACAGCAATAGGTGCGGCAGTCATGCTGCTTTTGAGAACCCTGCAGTGGGGCCACTACCTGACTCATCAGATTGTCCTAATCCAGCAAAATCATCTCCTTCGGGCAATTCATCTCATCGAACTCGAAGACCTGCTGGTGAGCAGCTTCGTGGGGAGGCATATGCGAGAGTAACCGAAAAGAAGGCGTTTATGACTGCAAAAGAACACGGAATGATGCTAGATATCGACTATGACCAGGCCAATCGGGATTGGAACTCCTCCAGAAACGCTGGATCTGGCCCTCCCGTAAGTAGCAGCTAAGAATCTGCATTCTTGGTAGCTGGATGGGAGCTGCATGCGTGCTTACAGCGCTGGGAAGCATCTTCACTTGGCCGTTGCCCCACTTGCTGCTTGCTTTTTTCTGTAGCCGGCCCCCGAAGGAATGGTGTATAATCCGCTTACAGGCGTCAACGAGTACGCTTACGCGGTAACGACCACTGGAGGACAAGTGAGGAGGCTTTTCCCATATCTGTTCTTCCATTCCCCCCAAACCAACATTCGTATATTATTCTGTGTGTTTCGTATAGCTGCCACTACTTCGTTTTTTCTAACTGTTAAGGAGATGCCTACCCCGTGGACACTTCAACTTGCGTCTGTGTGCAGCCATACGGTAATATAGCGCTAGGCGCCATTCAGCAAATAGCTCCCGTGGGTCCTGTTCCTTTAGACCAAGGTGAGATGTCTTAGGTACTTCTACCCCTTCCTTTGTTATGCCCTGCAGCAGGTGCTTGCTGGCCTTTGCTCTCTCAGTGATGACATCCTTTGAGGCACATGCTACCAGGCTTCGTTTATTGTGTAGGGTTTCCTTTAGGCGTTCGTCACCTTGCTCTGCTGCATGTAGTAAAGCTGCTTATAGACTAACTGGGAATTCCTTCAGCTCCTGTGCCTTCGTGCCCGCATGCGTTACAGGCAGGCTTGCGGATGTCCGTCGGCATGGCGCCTACCGTTTTAACGCTGCTACAGGGGAGAAGGAATTCGTTGACGGCGGAGGTGCTTCCATGTTTAGTCTCTACTTCTGCTGGTTTTTGGACGATTTGCTAGGGCTTTCCTTTTCAAGGGGTTCTATGGTATGCGTTTCCTGCTTGATGGGTGTGGTTCGCTCAGGCATGGATCGTGTCAGGCAGTTTGGTGCAACGGATTTCATCGATTCTGGGGCGTCTGCTCGTCCTAACGTTAAGGCAGACGGCTTGCCCGAGGGTTTCGACATGAGCTACGCAAGACAGAAATACGAAGCAGGTGTCCCAGCAGGTAATGTTTCTAGCTGCTTAGCAGCCGAACTGCATCCTCTCACTGTATTTTCTTTTTATATCAGCTCATTGCGATCAGGGATAATTTGCGGTCTATCCCTTTGTGCTTGCAGGTAGGGATCCGGTAATGCGCGGAGGAGAGAGAGAGGCGGAGGCCATTCAGCTTGAGGCGGAAGCGAAGCTGATGGACCTGGACCCTTACGGAGAACTTCTTGAGCCTCCTAAGTTACCCGCAAAGGAATATGCAACTTTTGATGGGGGAGTAGATCTCGTCAAAATGGGAATGGCATCCGGAGGACAGACGAGAAAAGTCATAAAAAAGGCGGCTGGCGAAGAACCGTCGAAACAGCAGGAAACCGGTGACGAAAGTCCAAAAGTAGCAGAGGCAAGCTGGGGCCACTGCATGGATGCATAATTTGTTGAATACCTTTAATACGCCTTCCGCGTTTTTCTTTCTTGTACAGGCGCCAATCAAAACTGGCGGCACAGTACTTGAATGAGGGCTGCATTTTAATTCCATTTGTTGACGGTTGAGCCGACTGACTTGACGCGAGGGAAAAGCAAAGGCAGAAGGCGCCAATGGTTTAATGGTTGAACAGACGTGGTTTCGGGTGTGTATGTTGAAAAATTGTTATTTGTTCTTCAACTGGTCTTCCGTGCTGTGCTGTCCATGTGTGTGTTTTAGGAACCGCGAGTCCCAACGGAGTGGAAAATGCCAGTTTCGAGCGGCAGTTACGCAGTGGAACAGGTTGCCAAGTGGAACTGGTATTACCGCATGGTAATTCCATTCATGCACGTCGTTTTATTCCATACGCTCTCACAGATTTTTCCTTCACAAGTATTTTCGGGAAGATGCACAGCACCCCTAGGGGTAGTTGCAACAGTAGCAGCACAGCAGCAACAGGATGTACAGCAGCAGCAACAATAACAGCCACAGCAGCAGCAGTAAAAGGGGGCTCGCAGATGCTTCTGATGTGTTTATGCTCGGGCAATATGGGGCCTTCCTTATCTCCTGCGTGGTTTTCTCCCAGGAGCAAATTTATTACCTATGGCAACAAAATGTGTTTCCTGTTAAACCAAACCACGTCTTTTGTGGTTTCCCGATTCATCTGGCTACCTCTGGTAGGTGTACTTTTTTATAACTTATAGAAGGCTTGTGCTCTGTTGGGATGACGAAGCACCGTTGGGCTTCCCACAATATATATAGCTTTAACCCGTCGAGACCCAAACCCTGAGCCATTGGGATGCTTTGCTTTTTGTGCAGACTCAACAGAAATTCGCAGCTATTTGGGGGGCAGCCGTCGATTTCGCCGTTTGCTGGATATGCCAGTCGAAAACATAACTTATGTTGTGACGGGAAAGTGTTATCCCTTAATGGGCGGAGTCATCAGCACTTGGTTGTTCTTCGGTGCCCAAGTTCCTCTTGCTGTAAGCCTCGTTATGCTCAACTCCTGTACTGAGAATCTGCGTCCTACATATACAGTGCCTCCTTCAGTCCCAAACATATACAGTTTAAGCTAATTCATGGACCTTTCTGTCTCTGTTGTTCTTATCCGGCATTCCTGATCTACCCGTGTGCGCTTTTGTCCTTGTCTCATCTTTCAGTCATCCCAGGAGCGCAAGAGCCACATGACCCGCATAAGAAAACCTCCGCACACAAAGCAGCGAAGGAAACCTCCAACAGAGGTTGCTGCGGAGAGCCAGGCCCCTACAGGAGGCGCAGAGCTTTCTGAAGAATCCGGCAGCAAAGTGGGGCACTAAGCTGCTTAGTAGGCTCCTCAGTACCCCCACCAAGCCACTCCACTGGGGTCTAAAACGTCGAAGTTATGCCCAACAACGCTGCACAGTGGTGTTGTACTTGTCGGATTTAGAAGCCATTAACCACCACCAACCTTCATTTTTTGTAGATCAAATGCTCGCTTCTGGGGAGAACCCGGAGTGATGCTAGAGGGTCCTGCTGAAGCGGACGCTGCCGCCATGTTGATTGAGGTACCTGAATATTGTCACGCAAGTCATTCAGTTTAAATAGGTTTTGAAGTTCTAATACAAACTCTGTTATTTCTCAAATAGATGTTCGTTTATGGTAAGTTTTGATAGACTGGAGGACTAACTCAGCTTGCTTGGTGTTTGCAGTGTAACTATCTGCATATCTTGCACACCAGCAAAGGGCAGCACGTACGTGGACAAACTACTAAAAACAAAATCAGATTTGTACGAGTTGGAACGTCCAGCCAGTCCTCTCCTACTTCGTGACACGAGAAAGGATGTAAGCAATGCTTTGGCAATGTTAAGTGCTTCGCATGCTGCTCTTGCGACGGAACACAACGATTTGAGACACTGGGGGGAACGTGGCACGTAGGCTGTAGAGCGAATCAAACCGGCTGAGAGGCTGTGCACGCCACAGCTCCTCTAGAAGCAGACTGCTCTCTGTTCCGTCATCCATCCCTGCTTCTTCATCCTTCTCATTTGGCAGCGGCGGAAGCCGGACAAAGCCCTCCCGGTAATACGGTCGGTCTTGCAGAGGCAACAGTTGCTGCCCCATTCGCATGCCCCCGAATTCGCATTCGATTGGCTGCTGTGTAGAACAAGCATTGCTTATGCTTCCCAAACCGCCGCATGGTGTTTGATTTAGCGCATCTTCGGCTGCCGGAACATCCGGTGGAAGGGAGCGAAAGTTGTTTGCAGATTTCCACTCCCTTGTGTCCCCGTCATCCCCTTCTGTACTTTCCCTACGCCTCTTGCAGCCCTCTTTTTTCTCCTTTTCTGACTCTTTCAGTGCTTGCTCATCAACCCCAGGATCATAGATTTCTTCTGAGGGCCTGCAGGACGCACTGTGCTGCTGGAGCGGTGGCAGCGACTGAGGGACTTCATAGTCAACGCCAAGAGGCAACAGACCCGCATCTGAGCAGCGCATTCCCCACGTTTCAAGCCTGCAGGCAAAACCAAACCAGAAATGAAAGTATGGACGGTTTTTGTCAGTGATGTGGTCAAACCAATATCCTGTGCCGCGTCTGTTCTTACCAGGAAGGCCGAGGGGCCCCAGGACACCCCGGTCACCCTGGTGAATGACCGAGAAACTACTTAGTCAGTATTTTCACCAGAGGGACTGAATACTGGCAGCTGGTTGAACATCACGGAGCCAATGAAAAATTAACAAATGACAGGGCACAAAGGACAGTATGCAGAGCGTACAGAGACTTACGGGCGTCCCACGAGTCCTCCTTCTGCGTGCCCTATTAAAATGTACTCCTGCACTTGGCAGTGGGAATGGCTGTGCTGTTGCAGCTCAGTACGCCCGCTGTTTTCACGGTGCATGTATCGGCAGCAGGCGCAGCAATTGGCGCGAGCCTTCGCAGTCCAGTCTACATTGAAGGGCATCCAGCAACAAATGACTAGCTGCGGAGAATGCCTTTCCATTGCTGATCTACACCCCTCACGCGTAGCAGCCAAGGATGTAGAGCACCATTGAAGCTCTGTTCGAGGTTCCGAGGCAACATAAGAAAACACAGAAACATCAGTCGCATCCGGTCTTGGAGAGTTTCTGTCAGCAAGTAGTGAGGAACTGCCGCTGTGTGCTTTGCTGTGAACTGCTCCGCAGTCGTGTATATTAACATGGGTTGGCGCCTGCACAGCTGACTCGGCACTCCGCGCCTCCTGCTGCTGCTGCTGCTGTTTGGGGACAAGTGTAGTGCTTGTGTCTCGGTGATGCAGTGGCCGGAGCTGCTGCTGCAGTGGCTGGAGCTGCTGCTGCAGCAGCGGTAGCAGGTGCGCGGCAAGAATGCCCGTGCCCGCTCCACATTCCAAGAGGGTAATGGGTCTATTTGCGTCCCAACGACTGCAGCAGCTGCTGCAGTCTTCTGGGGAGTCATCCGCGCTGCAGCGGCAGTTGCTGGCCGTTCCGATGGCTCTCCTTCGAATGGATTCAACACGAGTAGCCAAATAAGAGGCGAGAGCAGCAACAAATTCTTTCCTGAGTTTGCGTTGCACAAAAACCCTGGGGAATATAACTCAGCAGGTAAAGCCATACTTACATCTGCTGGTAACTGAAGTACAGTAATACAACAAAAGCTGGCAATGTTCGGTGTTCTACTAAAATAATGAGAAATGTGCAAGCGGAAGCCCACACAGCCACTACCAAGTAGGAACGGTAACCCCTCAGAAAGGCGTTGAGATAACAAAAGGAGTCTTTGAACAGCACCAGCAGCAGCAGCAGCTGAGGAACGGCGGCTCCACTAGCTGCAAAGGAGCAGCGGCGAAAGCTTAAGAAAGCATTACCACTGAGTGTTGGCGTTTGTAGCTTACGTGGGAATAACGTAGAAGGGGAACGTCGGATCTGCTGAGCAGAGATGCCACCAACTCTCCTCTGATGCAACCTGCGTCGCCCACTGACCGTACGTTCACCTCGTCTCAAGAACTTCTGCAGCTCGACCGAATGAGTTCAGTATATCCAAAAAACGACAACTGCCTGTCTCCTTTCTTTCCTGGACTGCCTGTGCTCTGCAACCACCTCGGAACGATACGCTTGATGAATCTATTGTATGAGATATGCTGAGATGCGAGGCACTCTAGAGAAAATCTAAACTAACAAATGCTCAAGCATAGGATTCGCAGTTGCATCCCTTGCAGGCGCCTAGAGAGAGAGTGGAGGTTTGCTGCAGAGTTGCTACGGAATCGACCTTACCACTAGTTTTTGCTTCTCGTCAGAGATATTGGAGATGTCCTTTTCAAGAAGCTCCAGCAGCTCAGCACGGGAGTACAGCCGCAGTTCGGGCGGTTGCATACTTTTCAGAGCTGCTTTTAGGTGGGGGTGGAGCGAACAAATGTTGCAAGCGCATGAACGACTGGCATTTGAGCTGCGGTCTGTTGTGTCTTCCATTGGAAACCGGAGGCAAAGGCGACATGTAGAAAATGCATGCAGATGGAACTGTTGCGTAATGAGTTGCGCAAATCCCTTCCTCCACCCTGTGGTGGCAGAGGTGTTTGGGGTTGTTTTCGCTTGATCCTGAAATAATGGGGAAGTGTTGGGCTAGCGAAAGAAAACTCCTCTTGAGGCCCTGCGTGAACTGTAATTAGATATTAATCCACAAGAAAGGGAACCGACAGGAAGAAATGAGAGAATACGGAGGTATTAATGCCAGTTACAACAGTTTCTCGGACATGGAGTATTCCTGCCTAGTCATTCGTAGGCCGCTGCTGCTTCGCGCTTGTTCGCAAGGAAAGCTCGGAGATGGTTTCTGCACATTCATATTAAGGCTAATAAAAACTTGTGTGGGTATAGTGAAGAACCGTTCCCAATGAAGTGTCGCTGGCTACGCAGAATCGACTGGGGGGCCCTCTGGCTACAAGACGGACGAGCTTCGCTTCTTCTTGTCTTTCTCAGCAGACTTCAGCTGTTCACCCCATCGTAACAAAAGTATAAAATAGTCCATAACGAATAATAACATTCAACAACAACTAATTACTGCTGGAAACGAGTAATTTCAAGAACTTCGAACCTCACCGCAGGCGTCGTTGAAATGCCGCCAACCACCCAATCCCAGTTGAGAAGCTCCTGAGAAAGTTAGTGGCTTAATGCGAATGCAAGTGCACGAATAAGATTCTTAAGCTGCATTGTTTCTGCCAAAATCGAATCACTTTTTGAAGCCTCCAGCACCAGGCAACCCCGGCTCATCCAGTTCAAAGGATACGTAGCCACCACTGAAATGAAATACACTTGTTCCGGTTACCAGATTCAAAAATATCAATATTTGTTTCACCTCCTCTCAGGCAACACTTTAAGTAGGAGTGGGCTGTTGGGCGTCCATGCCAGCCACGCGATTCCGCCAACACGCAGCTGTACCACGAGCTATCTTAAGTAGGCATTCTATGCATTTCTACCTGCATTCAGGCTGGCTGCAGAGGGCCAAGGAATCGCGTAACAATTGTCTAAGTTGTTAGTGCATGCAACAAAGGGGGATTAAGTATGCTTGCACGTGGAACGCGATTGCCTTTCAGTACGAGCTGCAGTAAGAGGCGCTGCATGCAACTCGTGGCAGGCCGCCTCCTCTCCGCGCTAGCCTTAGGCCCTTCAACCGCTATGCACAGGAAGCTTCGAGACTGGCAGTGCAGGCTGCCGTCTGGGAACTACCGCCGAAGCGTTCTAGATCCAAATATGTGACTTTGACTCCACTCCGTTACGGTCGAGGCCTCTAGTCTCAGCAGCTCAGTAAAGGAAACGCAGCGAACGTGAAGCCGCCTCTATCGGTCCCTACTATCGCGCCTGCCAGTAGTGCAACGTCTACTGCTAAGGAGAATCTCGAAGAGATGCCAAACCCCCGCATGCGAATGCTGCATCAACGACCTCCCAAGAGGCGAATGCTTTCGTAATTTTGCAGAGGCTTATGCTGTTTGTTGTTTCGTCAGTAGTGCCGTCTACTGAGGCCCCTGCTCTGCGCGCAAGATACACTAAACACGCGCACGTTGCGGAATCTCCAAGCGGTTCGTTCATTCAGAACAGCACAAGGAGGGAAGCAAAACAGATGCCTCTGTCTTTCTGTCCACTGTGCAATTGTCTCTGTCTGCCCGTCGGCTTCTGTGTGCCTACTACGGCCCACTGAAGCCCTTACAAATAATCCAATGTAAAAACCTCCAACGCACATCGCGCAAACGAAGCCCGGAAAAAAAAAAACAAGGAGCGATGTGCACCAGCAGAGATTGTCGAGTGCGTGCTCCGTTTCAAGCAGCGACCAGTACAGCAGACCTTTTCTTCCTGCTGCTCCCATTGCCACCCGTGGTTGGTTTGCTGTTGCGATAGTATATATAATGTTGCGATGGTTTTTGCTACAATTTGTTGCTCTTGTTGTTCTGCTGTTGATTGTGGCCCTGTCTGCTCAATGGCGATGACCTTGAAGAGAAGCGGAGAAAATTCAGGCGCAGTTACGGGGTAAGAACCACAGGGCCAGCACTGAGACGCCCAAGGCGACAATATTGAATGCGTAGCTAATTTTTGTGTAGAGATCGACATGCCTGGAAACGGAGAAGTAACAACAATAAAAAAAGAATCGATGCCGCACGTACACAACTTTCACCTTCCTGATCCAGCCCTCTTGCTTTGTGCGCCTAAGTGGAGATGTCGCTGACAAAAAATAAAACGCTGCGGAGGGGTTAAGCGTTTACGGTTTACGGTTCTAGGCGATAGGCTTTAGCAAAAGCGGCAATATTGAGGTAGCTGCAATTACACACAAGTGCAACGAGACGCCTACATTGCACACGATGTGCAGTCAGGGGGTGCCTTACTGGGAACCCTGGGGGTTTGTGCTATTATACGCCAAGCCGAAAGAAATTCCGGCGGCCATCCCCGCTAAATGGCCTACGACATCTGCAAGCAGGAGATCAGCGCAAGCAAAAGCAACAAAACACTCGCTGCAGACAGGCTCAATGCTGCATTAAATGAGTGGTAGTGAAGTCAATACAGGGACTAATACTCCATCACTCTAGTGTTTAAAGAATTAAAAATGGAATTTAATGGTATAAACTGGCAGTTCAATGGTGTAAAGGTTCTGACGTGCTGGTGTGACGGGGCTCTCCGCAAGTGAGAATTCCCCACCTGTGGCACTTCCAATGGACAGGAAAATGAAAAGGAGACCGAAAATTCTGAGGTCGCAAACACGAATTCCATACGTGTGCACCTTTGTCAGCTTCTCAGCAGCTTCAAGTTGTGTTGCATACAGAGACGGCATCTCTTTTCTTAACAGTACTGCACGCTGTTCTAAAGAGGGAAGCAAAATATGATATGTACAAAAGCTGCAACACCACCGGGCGTCGATCCTCGATAGAATGCCAAATCACCAATAACTCCGCCAGCTGCGTGAGGAAAAACACAAGCTCGGTGAAAGAGTTAATACCCAATAGCTGATGCCACTTCTAGTATGCCTTCCGCCAGCCGATATAGAGTGTAGTTGCTCACCACAAACTTCCCCTACTTGTTGCGGCAATGACAAATACAGTTAGAAGAAATATACACATGCAATATATATCTGCTGCAGGAGTTACATTGCCTTCTTATTAGACTCACGTCGATTCCAATGAGCCCGAAAATCGCCGTAGACGCTCCTACCTTCAGCTGCAAACCCACAAGTATCCATTCGTAATCAGTGCGTTGTTCACTTGTGAAGTGCAATAAATGCAATGAACAAACATGAACTGCAAAAAGAAGTTGACGATGGTTCTGGCCGCTACTCCCTAGAGCCTTTGCGCAGACTAGAGGAGATGCAAAAACAGAAAAACTAATATAAAACCATCATACCTACCGCATTGCAGAAGAAAGCGGCAGCAGAAACCAAATTTCCCAAAATTCCGCTGACGAGGTAAGCCGCGCAGATCCGACGCGTGCCGTATCTGTACGTACATCCGAGCATGCACAACTTCTGCTCCCTCTAGCACCTCAACCGTTAATCCAGAGGCAGAAGCGTGTACACCAAATCACACACAACTACGCCTGTAGGGTTATGATGAGCCAGTGCCACAAGTAGAAATCTATGTTCTCTGGAAGTCGCAAGCGTCGCACTTCTCCTCGATTGTGGCCCCAATTCGGACTTGCATGAACATATTGATCTGTAAACCAAAGCAGCACAAAATGGAGCACGCCACTGCTACCGCAGGCTAAGTAGTATGTGCGCGACATTTATTCAAAACGAAGGAGAACCTAAGGGCGACAGGAGCCGAAATGCACGCCTTTTTGGAGCCTACCAGGAGGTGGAAGATGTTCAGATGTAGAAAGACAGGACACACTAAGCGCCATATCTGGCCCCTCCTTATCTCACTGGGAATGCTTGCGCCGAAAGTAACCAGAGAAGAACTGCAATAAATCGTACGGAGTTCGCACCCAATGGTGCCAACAGAGTCAACTATGGGATCGCGTTGGAGAATGGGGAGTTCAAAGCAACTCGATATGACCCATGCAAGGCAGCATAGATAAAAAACCAGCAGCTCAGTTGCGCCTACTGCACGTTTAATGCTCACATGGAAGGGCTCGTAGGGTTGTCTGGAGACCGTCCATAGATAATTGTTGCAATATAAACAACGAGATCGATAACAGCGAAGATGAAGACGCAGTGCTTCGGGCTGAATCTCGGCAGCAGACACTCGAGAAAACTCCGGCCTGAAGGGGGCCCATCTCCAGTAGGTAATGCCATTGATGACAGCGCGGCCCCAAAAGTCTGGGGGTCCGCCTGAGCACTTTTATCCTGCCTTTCAAGGTCTGCTAGAGTATGAACCCGCGCCATTTTCACTGTTTTGCTTATTGCCTATAAACTCCGCACTGTGAATTGTGACGCGGGGGAGTCCATAGACCCGTAGTACACACAGACACAAAATAGCTTGCCGATCCTATGCGCTCCAGAAGGGGAAGAGAACAGGAATCCGGCGCTATACAAAAGCCTCAAGAGAAGGCAAAGCTGCAACAGCTGCTCTACTACCAGAAGGGCCCCGTGCAGGACTGCTCGCCGATATTTTCGCTCCTGAGATGCAGTTTTCGGACTCAATTTTATAAATAAGAAAAAGCAAAGTCACCGAAGAAGTTAACGTAGAAGATCAGGCAGGAAATATGTCGACAAGGATGTGAATGTTCGTCACAGGCACTCCGGAGTACAGCTAAGCAGGCATGTCTACATATTATCTGTCCCGTAGAAATCCGTCATTATAACCAGATACGCTTCGCCAGTTGCAGCGGAGTTCACTATTTTTTTTCCAAAATAAAAGTACAGACTAACGTTTCTAGCCCCACGGCCGCTGTCTGAACGCATGCTGTACTTAAGATTCGGTGAAGCGCCGGAAGAGGCTGAGTAAAGCAGATTGATGTGTTTAATCAGGAACTCCCGCTTCACATTGAAGTCTTTACGAGAATGTACAGTTTCCTCACGCCACATCTTAATAACAAAGCATTGCTTCGAAGCGGTGCGCTGAGCCGCTGCCATTACACCTTCCCAGAACCCTTGATATCGCAAAAATAATGTTAGTCCCCTAGTGAAAAAAACTTAATTTGAGTTGTACACAACTTACCATCATCAGTATGATCGTAAAATTGGGTACAACTGAAATTCACCCTTCCAAAAGTTCGAATCCACGTTGTGTACCTATATGTTATATACGTTACATAGATATATATATATATATATATGCTCAGGAAACTAGAAAATTTCGAAGCATCCCCAATTCCTTAACGCACTGCAGGGCACGAAAGCTGCAGCAGGAACCCCGTCTACAGTTTCCCTTGAAAACGTCGGAGGATGCAGACTTTCCAGTCAACTTCAACATTTCGCCATCGCCTGTGCGTGCAGGCAATTCTAACACTCCTACTCTGTGTCACTTAGTGGCAGGCTGCCGGTGGTTCGATGCATGCTACTACGCAGAATAGCGAGCCCCTCCTCCCATGGATATATCTGATTCCTGTTTCATTTTACTTGTCGATAGGACGTGGTGTGGAGTAGTTGTTAATTAACTAGTATTCAAGCGTCTACTTCTTAAACTACTTAACACTGGCTCCGCTACTACCTGTATCGGCGGAGCAGCTAATAGAGCCAATTACGCATCTGTTTCTGGATGTTTTCGAAATCCGAAAGCCCGCATGCCTTCAGTGCGGCAACCAAATCTCCTCCCACTGGCGCATCGACCGTTAAGTCTTTTCCTGAGTGCAGGGAATAAGATGCAAACCGGCTCTCTGTTCCTGTGCAGCCGTCGACGGTATGCGTATGGGTGTTTGTGCAGGCCTTCACTCATGCTGATTTTGTTGACTAAACATCAATAAATGGCTACTGTGTGCTACAGAGAGGAAACAGACAGAAACTGCACCTGCAAACGTCCTCCATTGGATTCGCTTGAGATGTAGTGGCAGCGCAGCCACTTCTTTCCGGTATATGAATTCCTCGTGGTCCGCCCTCTCCAAACAACCATCACCTCGCGATCCCTGCACGTTCCTTTCTGCCTGCTGCCACCTCTTCAGGAGCTGACCATACAGCCTATCTCCCTTCAGTGGACAGCGGAGACCTGCGAGCATTCGAATTTACGTTGGCGCGGCTCTCTGCCTTCTGCATTGCATATCTGCAACCGCGATATGTAAATCGTCCGCATCAACAACTCCAAAGCTTCTGCAACACAGCTATAGAACTGCTATGGCAGAGCAAAATCGGCGCTGTGCCCAATGAACAGATCTCGGGTCGTACCGAAGGCGCAGTGAGCACGAATTTGGTGGCGACAAAGATCGAATCCTGTCTCCAACAGGAGGATGGAAAGGCTCCGAGTTTCATGGAAGTCTAAGCTGCTATGGGATCTATGGCCATTAACAGAAGCAGCCACCTTCACAGACCGTAACAGCCTCCACTTCGTAGTTGCCGGGGACCCTCCGTGATGAGTTGAGGCGGGAACAGCATAGCCGATGGACTGTGCAACCCACAAAAGAAAACAAACTTGAGGCCCGTTGCTAGCCGAACGCGGCAGTCCGTCTTATAAAGGCGATGAACTGCATGCTATGTTGATGCATGCGAGGAGCAAAACCCTCATAGGTCCAAGATGCCTCACCTGCTGTGAACGCAAAGGGATCTTCACAAATCCATCGTGCCCGAGGGGACTTCCCTCCACGACGGCAATAAACTTCAGCGTCCCAAATCCGCCGCTGTGCGCCAGTATGTATGCACAATGATGCGCGCATCATGATGGATGCCTTCAAAGTACCCGCACCCGAGACCGCAGACTCACCTCAGTCATGTGTACAGCGCACTGTGTCCAAAAAAAGGACAAAATGGTAAACAGGAGAATATTATCCAACGTAATGGGAGCCTGAAGTGAGGCGATCGACTCACCGGGAAATGGCGTTGCGAACAACTGAGGCAGCAGCGCGGCTGCGACAGAGCAGAGCCGCGCCGCTGCAGAGGCGTTCCAGAACTGTCAGCGGTATTGGGGTCTGCGCCGTACAACGCAGTGGGGAAGGTGTTAACTCAAGGACTTTCTCTCTGAAAAGTAAAATGCGGGGGCCAACAATCAGGCATCGCGCATGAGCGGCTGCTTGGGGGTGCGTGACTATGCCTCGACTGGGGTGAAGTTATATCTGGGCACTTCCGCAAGCGCGACTCCCAGAAGGATCACCTCTGCGCTCTCTACAGGCACTGCCGACGCGCCCTGCAGCAAAACGGGGAGCTGCTGCTGCAGCACAACAACAATTCAGACGCAACGATGTCTCGACTGCGGATTCTGTTCTTGCTTTTTGAACATTTCTGCATATTTGTATAGCGGTCTTTACCGTTCAAGCGCCTCAGATTTCCATTTGTCTCATCTGTGACCTAAATAAGTCCCTGTGCGGGTGTGTGAACACGTTGGCGTACAATCAGTTTCCCGACCGTGACGCCGCAGGGTTTGTTTAGAACAATGTAGTCTTCATCTTCAAACAGAACGAGCTCCTTTTTGTTCAACTGCTGCTGTTGAAATTTTTCGTTTGAGCAAGGGCTGCTGCTGATGTCGCTCCTGCCCCTGCACGGGTAGTAGAGAGTGGATCCTGGCTCTAAACGAGCTCCACAAGCAGTGTGTTTTCTGTTTTTTGCATCGTATATTTGCTTCAAATGCTCTTCTAGACCCCTGAAGAGACACTAATATACAGCAAGCCTGTTGCATAGACTTCTCGCCTCTTCACATGCAAACACGTACACCTGCGCACACGCGCGTGTGTGCAGTTCACTTGCATGCACCCCACACCAGTGCCTGCACACGTTACACCAACCAAATCTGCTCGTTCCGACCACAGACGACAGCATCTGTAAGTAAGGGTGCAGTCAATAACAGAGCTGATGCTTGCGTGGCACCTTGTTTCCTCATTACCTCTCATGAGGGACGACGAACGCCTCCTTGAGCCGCAGCAGCTTCTGTACAGAAGCCCACGAGCAGCCGCACAACCTCTGCAGCACTCTGCTAACTCTCTCAGATCTCTCTCCAACTCCTCCGCTCTTCGTATACAGCGGGGCCTTATACAATGTCAAGCCACAGGCACCTGAAGCAGAATGCACAAAACGCAGGAGGCGCAGAGACGTCTGCTATTTGTATATCAACAGTTCCGACTGATCTGCAACGGCTGGTATTCAGGTAACATGCTTGCTTTGCTCTTTGTTCGGATTTTTAACTCGGCATTCATTACAACGGCGCTGGAGGTGGGTAGGGGCAGCGTGCCTATCGCGTCCGTTAGTCTTGCATCCGTAATAGGTTGCTGCATCTGTTGACTTTCTTCAAGTCCCCCTCCGGATGGTGCACTAGACGCACCGCCGGACGCTACAGTTGCTGCTGTCACTGTAGTTTTGACTCCATGCGCAGATGCAAGCGGAGGCGCAGCTACACTCGCTGCTGTAGGTGCAGCAACAACTGTATGTTCAGCTGTAGCTGCCTGTCCTCCGCCACTCATTGTATTACAATGCACACTCTGCAGTTCTTGGCTGACGGATTCTGTCGGCTGAGCAGCATTGGGCTGCACGAGCAGCGAGTGATGCGCGTCTCTGACATTCTTAGAAATGGCTGAAGGGCCTCGGGTTTCTCCTTCTTGGTGGGTGGAAGGGAAAGGGAAAGAGGCTTCGCATTTTCCGTCCAGCTCGGTGTTAGATATGTAGTCTTTCGCGCGATACTGAGTTTGGTACCTCTGCAACGTCAGATACCTCTGCTGGTGGCTGCGTGGGACTACACAACATCGTGCTGTCGCGTGGTGTGCCCCTTGCCGGTATCTAAATGCGCTGTAAAGTGTAGCAAATGTTGGTCCCGGTTGCAAAGTTTGAACAGTTCCCTGACGGCAGAGAGAAGACACACTAGGCATTTGATTCAGGGGAGTCAAAGCCGTCGGCTGGCACCTGCTTCCAGGAGATCGGGTGGCGTCTGCAAACAGCAGATGCTACAGAAAAGACGAAGCTGCGCAGGAAAGAAGGAATTTTTAGCTCGTACAACGAGAATTCCTTTGGGAGTATGATGCAGGCACGAATCCCACAGATCCCACAGGCGTTTAGGAAGGACCGAAGAAGCCTTGCTCAGGAGACTGGGTAGCGTCTGTACACCGTAGATGCAACCCAAATAACAAAAGTGCTCACGAGAGAAGGCAAGCCTTGTTCCTGAAACGATAATGCTTCTGGGAGGATGAATCAGAGCTTATTACGGATCCCACAGGCGTTCAGCGGGGACGGACTCAAGGGGCCCTGCTCAGTCCAGCAGGCGTCATGGAGTCCTCCATGCAATTCGTTGAACATGTTTATTAAATTATCACTATAATATGAATCCAATTTTATACTTTCAAGTTTCAATTCGGTGGGCTCACAGCACGCGTGCAACGTGAGCTCCGCAGCCAAAGGCGAAGCGATGCGGCGGCTCAGCTCAACTTCTTCCACAGCCTTAGCATTCAGTGTAAGACTGTGTAACGTAACTTCCTTCACTTCTGCACTTTAGAATTACATCTGGTACTTCCAACAAACACGCAAAACAGTACGCGACCATTAGACAGCGTTTGCCAAGCCCGCCCCCCACGGTACACCCCCGCTAGGGCTAATCGCCAGTTCGAACGTGTTCTGGCGCATCTCCTGATACAGTTCCTGATACGATATCTGCAACTTATCGTATTCGCATTTGGTGATCGGAGAGACCCGACGAGAAGCACCAGTCCACCACCTGACGGCAGATCTAAAAGCAACGACGCAGCTCGTATTGCTCCTAATTCGAGCTTCAACTGCGTGTGCTGCAACTGCTTGTAGTATGCAGCGGATGGCAGCCTGTGGCTGCTGTATGCCGCAGGCGGCTGTGCCCCTAGGCTCCCTGTTTACCACGACGCGAACGTTTGAAGAAATCACTTACGAAAAGCGTCGACGTAAGCAGACGCTAAATCGGCCATTAAACGGGTTGTATTTGTGTGTAGCGACACCCTTAAATCCCACCGTCTCAACCCCACCAACAACAAAAGTAAACAGGATAGCAGGCATCTGTTGGGGTCGCCGCACCCCACCGCACAGCACAGTGCCCAACGCCCCCCAACCTCGTTACAGCCCAAACTAGCGAGGAACTACTTTAGTTTTCCCTCCGCCTCCAGTTCCACCGGAAGTTGCAGACGTTGCACATGTGGCACCGTCGTCAGAGAGCCCTAAACACTCCTCAGGGCGTCCCTTTCACAATGAGTACATTCATGCCACCAACTCACGCACGGACACCGTCATCCGGGTGACGCAGTGTTAACAGAGGCAGCACAATTCAGAAGAGCGGACGGCACTGCCATCGTTGGGCTCAATAATGCCGCTCTGGCAATCACGTCGTGTCACCTTTACCTCCTTCCTCGGCCTCCTCTCATGTCCCGGTCGTCGTCTGAGTAGTCTCGACGGCGCGGACTGCAGCATAAAAGCAGACAAGTGACGATGAAAGAGCAGCTCATCAAGAGTAGACAAGCCATACCTCGACATGAAACCTCAGCACAGCACATGTCCATGCAATCTCCTGCTCGCAAACAGAACTCTAAATCTCCAGTCTTGAGCTCTGCACAAACCTGTAGGAACGTCGTCTGTCGACACTGCGGCTACGGCTACGGCCCCTTCGACCGCGGTAATCGTTGTAGTCGCTTCCCTCGCTGCTGTATCCCGGGCTGCAGCACATCCCGCATCATTCGCACAGCAGCAGAGAATGAGAGGAGCAGCTGGCAACATTCGGCAGCTACAAAAACACGCAGACTGCCTGGCAAGTGAAAAACACGGTGTACCTGCGTCGTGTGTCTCGGCCGCGGAAACCGTCGGGGGAGCCTCTCCTCCTCCTTCCTGGGGGACTCATTCGGCGGCCTTTGGCACCCGGCCCCTTTGCGATTTCCACTCGGAGACTGCGCAGAGTACGTACACCTCAGCAGGTAACAAAGCATTAGGGAGAGCAGTTTGGCCTGAGGTGCTGCAGCGGCATCCCGTCAGGAGCCCTCAATTTCGCGGGTAGAACCCATATACAGGCGGAGAATAAAGACGCCGCGGTGTCGGGAAGGTGTGTCCCATGGGGGAAGAGCAGATATTATATGAGCCATTTACACAGGCGAAGGCAAGAGACGTTATGCGCTCGAATGCACAAAACAAGAACCGCAAAACTCACACTGCAACGTGAATACGAATGTACAAAAACCAGCAGCACCCAACCTGTTTACCCGACAACTAAGCCGCAGCGCAGACGCAGATGCAGGGAAGATAAGAAGAAAGCACCGCACGGCAGGAGGTTGAGTGAGTTCGGTGTGCGGGAGAGCCAACAGCCATAAGCCCCCGTACAGGCAGGCAGCAGGCAGGGGAGAATCGGGGCAGTGAAGTGAAGTGGAGCGACGAGCCTAAGACCAGAGGCACCTTCGCATGACGCGACCGCCTCGTCTCTCAACTTGCATGCGTTCAGCTGCAGATTGCGGATTTAACAACGACAAAGGCTCACTACTTCTCCCGATGCAGTATTCCGTCCGTCGCCTCCACCGCGTCTCTGGCATCCCTCATGTCCTCAAAGGTCTTCAGTACAAAAAGACACGGCACAGAAAAAGCAATGTATATTGCGACGCATTCTCTACCATGAAAACTACCAACTACTACGAACAATCATAAGTGTCACTTCACTACAGACTCACTACGAATGCAAACCCAGGAGGGTTCCTCGCCACCCAAATATTGCTGAGCTTCCCATAACGTCTGAAGATCTCCTCCAGCTCCGTAGAAGTGGACTCCGGGTCTAGATTACCTGAAAATGGCAAGCCACACCGAGGAGGCCCGTCAGCAAACGCGCTGGGGCATGAGGAATGTACGGAGTACCTGCGAAGCAAATACAGTATGTACAAAAAATAAATACGTGGTGTAAAGAACAGAAACAAAACGCACCCACATACACCTTCCGCCCGTGCGTCAGTTCATCATCCATGCGATGCATTTTGACCTGCGCACAGCATAGAGCAGAAGGCAGATTCCAACGATAGCTTCGCCCCTTGCTGATACTGACTACCTTCAGAATCAGAAAGCGGCTTCACCTCCCAATTCGCACAAACCGAATACAGGAACACAGCAACCACACGGTAGAGGAGAGCAAACACACGATTCCGCCGGGTGCTGCGGAGGGGAAGTCCCGGGTTGTCAATACACCCCATAATCGGTTAGCAAGGCTGAAAGTACGCATTTGTGTTGTGGATTAGAATAACTGACCGGTACTTCTTGTGTCTCGAAAACCCCGATGCATGCACGCGACGATTCGCGTTAATCGGTGGGAAACCCCCAGGCAGTGGAGCTCGTCCACTTTAAGAGGAAAGCAATTCCACCTTGAGTAAGAAGAGAATAAACAATGATTCGATTGGTTTGAGCTCGTCTTGCGAGGACAAACACGCCGCTTTCACCCTGGCTTCAGCACCTGTCAGCCCCACGTATGTGGCACTGCTTGCATGTTTGCCAGGGGGCCTCCTAATGCTGCGGCATCAGTCTGCTGCAGCGGTGCACGATAGAGGTATTTTGCTGACTAAGTTAAATGATCTGTGCCCTCTTTTATATTAGCTCAAGATGGAGTAGACTGACTCTGCATTGCTGTTGGCGTAGTCCCAATCGGTTGATTGGGACTACCACCAGAGTTGGCTAAATCCGTCCAACTACACCAGCAACATAGGTGCGTGCGAAGCAAGCTTGAACCCATAGGTGGGGATAGGCGCAGCGCGGTATCTGCACACCCCAGGTAATGCGAGCGCTTACCGATGGGGAGTGAAGCTGTTCAGTTGTCAGCCTACTCAGCATGAACTGTCGGAAGTCGGTATGAAAATGCATCTATCTGTGCGTAGGTTGGCCGCTTAGCGCCACTCAAGTGTAGATTAAGGTGTTGGTGAAAGCATTAAAAGGGGGTTTTCCTGGAGGCGCATGTGAGGTCACTTCTCTTGCAACTCGTGGAACGCCTTCTGTCCGCACCACCCCCAGGCTCGTTGGCCTCTACGCCTAGGATGCCGGGGGACTGGAGGGGAAGCCAACTGCTTTTGGAGAGCTCTTAACGTAAGTCTTTGATTTCGGGACAGCTCGCGAGGGTCCTCAGATAACAGCGAGGAGCCCTGTTACAATTGGTAACACCGCATAGCTCATCGAGGCAGCTGCAAGCACTGAACATCACCCGGGTTGCTGGGCAAACTACGGTGAAGCACTAATTAGCAGCGAGGGTGCCTTGGGGGCAAATCTTATCTTCAAAATATTTTTTTGTCCCTCTCACCTCTCGGATGGTGGAGATTGATCTGGATCTTCCCTTCCTTGCAGAGGAGACCAACGGCTAGGAACTCATCTCATTAAAACAATAGCGATGTCTCCATCCTCTCCGAGTGAAAGTGTCTTTATAACGAAAATAACTCATAAAGAGTGCCGTGGCTTCTGCCCGCCTTCCCCCTATAGCAGGCGCCTCGATCCGCCGGCAGTGGAAGACTCAGTGGCTTTTCTCGAGGTTTGCTTTCCTCTTCACTGTGCATCCAAAGAGCCACAGTCCCGATTGGAATCATCGTTATCAGGAGAGGCACGAAAATGGTGGTTATATCTAGCCAAGGGGATCACTTTTCGGGGGGCGCATCAGCACATTGGAAAACCTCCCCACAGGTGTTGCGAAGCATATTTATTCCCATATCTACAAGGAGCAGGCTATCGTAGAACTGAGAAAACTTAAACAAGGGGAGCCATCGATAGAGCGCTGCATCAACAGGATAAATATGGGGTGGAAGGGTCGCACTTTTCTGGATAGAGTCCCTACTGTCCAAAGAGAGAAAAGGCGCCAGTTTCCACCCCCTACCTAAGAAGAAATAATACCGATTTGGTAATGGCCCCGGTATAGACCACCTCGATGATGGGGCTTTGAATGCCAGCCCTGATCAGAGAATGCTGCGAAGCAAGAAACGACGGCAACCGAAAAATCAGATTCCCAGGAGAAAAGGGGAAGTATCTGGAGGTGCGCCTTCTTCTTTTGCAATAGAGAAGGCCAGATAAGTCGAGATTACAGGAGCATAATAAGAGCTAAGGAATGGGAGAAGCAAGATGCCGAGGAGCATCGCCACATACACGCCCTGTCCCCCACTAGATGTGGGACGCACCTGTAGGGCCGAAAAAAGTGATGGCCGCACTTCCGGTGGACGCAAAAAGCACCCCGTCGAACTGACTCCTGGCACACCCTCAGTCTTTTGTCCCAGGTACAAAACTTCGGCTACAGTATAGAGGCGATTCGGCAATGGCCGCTTCCCCTGTACACTCATGCCAACGTCAGGAAGTCCCTCCTTCCCGTCGCATTGCCGTAACTTTCTCCCTTTGGCTCTCATCTCCTCCCCTCTAACGGATATACTCGAAAAGGGGAAACATCTTTTTTGATCGGTGAACGGACAAAAGGCAGGCGGAGGTCTCAGACTCCGGACATCCTCTCCATGGCTGACGCTCCCGAATTTCGGCATCGTTTTCTTCCCTGCAACTAATGCCAGTGACAAAGCGATTGGGCCAGCGCTCTCTATTGCTCTCAGCACGCAGGCAGCTGAAGAGAACGCCAAAGAGCCGCCTGCTACTCATAGCATCTTGCGGAAAGAGAGCAAAAGTATCCAGCACTTCACGAGAGCTCTATAAGGTATGGTGGAAAGCAATGAAGTGCCGAGATCACTTGTAGTGGGCGCTTCACTGTTCTAACTGACTATCAATTCGTGACATGCATGGGGGAAAATTCTTAAGGCTTCGATATTGGATGCATTGTACGGTGGGTTTAGTGGCTCGTGAAGTCCGACTGGAGTCAAGTACATCACGGTTGTCAACGAGGTGGCAGCTATCTCATTGTCCTGAGGCCCTACTGGTCAAGCGCATCACTCACCAACTGCGCGTACATCCGATGACCCCTGCTTTCCTTCCAAATTGCGTGTTTCTGTTTCGGTAGCTTATTCAGGCGGATGTGGTTCTTCCCAAACAACGAGGGACGACTGGTTAAACATCATCTAGTACGGTGATATTTTTTGGTACCAGATGGAGAGTGGATTATGCCGCTGCACTTCCCAGGCTCTCTTTGCAGAGGACCCTGTCGCAAAATGCACAAGCATGCTATTGCAGGCCTACTAGGCCCGAACAACGGTGGATCTGGCGGCAGGATCCTGGTGTTGCCGTGGGATGCATGGGTCAGCAGAGGAATGCGCCCCCACCTGCCCGAAATCGCGGCAGAAAAGGTACGGAAAGCGCTTGAATTCGGACTCCTGCAGTGTTGTCCGACTCCTAAATGGCCATTGACCGGAGTATCTGCGGGTTTTATGGTTGGTGTGCAGTGGGTCCGGCGCTGTGGTGTCACCTTAGGTGCGATGGATAGTCTCATCACACTTGCCACTTCATTCCCTGTTTCAGTTCGGTTGTAACGCAAGGAGTTTTTCACTTACTCATGAGTCTCTTTTTACGTCCGGAATCTCCATTGCTTCCAGGAAAGCATCATTATTAACAGGGGTCCGAAAATTGTCAACGCATTGATGCCTTGGCGCCTCCTGGTACTGATTCATGGCTAGGCTCAATATCGAACAAAAGACCACCACCGCAAAACACCGAAAGGCAGGCGCCCGAGCGAAACGCACCAACCGCACGCTTGCGAAATAATAGAGACTGTATATGGCCGCGTACAAGCTTGGGCATTTGCTCTATCAAGCCTATAGATGTCTCCATACGTGCATATTTGCACCGTTTTTTGCGTTGATTATTTTCCTGCTGAGATCTGCGCGCCCCAGTCATCTATGATGAGAGAGGAGCCATCATCGACAGCGCCTTCATTTTTCCATATTTTGGGATTGATCGTTTCTTTTGGGGCTCCTGGACTCCGCACCACACGTAGGATTTGCCGGTGAGCATCGCCGCCGGCTCATTACATATTTTCTCTGTTTCGGCGCCATATTAAAAGGGCTTTCCATCCAGGAGCAAGACACAGAAGACGTTGCACGACTAGTGGCCACGCCAGTGGATGGCTTGCTAACAGTTAGATGGAAGTCGGCACCAAAAAAGAGGAGCAGCCGCAGCTGCGGTGCGCCCCCTCTCCCCGTGTCTGTTTCTTTCAGCTCGTGCCTTCGGTGCTCTGGTGCTCATTGGACCCTCCTCCGCCTCTCTCTTGGTGCAGCCATACTCTTTTTGGCAGCCAAGCAGATGAATTTGTACGCTGTTTGGGAGGTGAGGTTTGGGCACATGCAGCATGTTCTGTCTAAAGTTGGCGTCCGTATGTGTAATAGTGCGTAGGCAGGTTACTTACGACCATAAATGCGATTAGCAATTGTTTAGTTTTTAAAGCATGCATCGAAGGCAGCTTGCGTATGGTTGCGCAAAGGGTTGCCTTGCAGCAGGCGTTGCAGCGTGGCGCGTTGCAACTCATGACAGGCAGGCCGCCTCGCCGCACTCTCTCCAGGGCAATACGCAGCTGTGACCCGGACACTTGGTGACTGGAAAGGCCAGCTGAGAGTTGGAAACCTTATCCTACGTATTTCTTTTCTGTTACAGCTAACAACGGTCATCGGCAAGGGTCGAGCACGCTTGTCGCAGTGCAACTTGTTCCCACGGTTAGCGATATATTTATGTGCGGCGCAGCCAGCCAGCCAGCCCCTGACGGAAATTATTGGTTATTCATTCACGCAATCACCGGTTTTTGCAGCCTGGCCTGCAATTAAGTCTATAATGCTACATGGTAAGATATATACCGTGAGTTCGTGGGCTGGCGGGTCCATATTATCCCGTTGGAGCTAGTGAAGCGCTGGCATGCAAAAGCTTCCAAACGGGTATCACAAAGGCACTGAAAGGTTAAAAACAATGAGAAAGGTCATCTAGTTCTGCAGCGCGTATTTCAATGCTCCCGGCGCTGCTCTAGCAACAGCACCGGGCTGGTCTGTACAGTTGCTGCGACGGAGCTCCATCGCGGAGACACGTCCATCTGAAATACGCCTTAAAGTTCATTGCACATTCCAATTGAGTTGTTAAAGTGTAATTTAGAGTCGTTGCCATGCGCGTCTGCTGGGGGAAACTTAAACTCTACCGCGGAGCGTTCAGCCTGAGCGATAGGCGGACAGACACCCCACCTGACACCGCCAGTCAAGCCAGGTGACTAGCGGCACAAGTGTGTCAATTTAGGGTTACATTATTAAATATATTGCTCTAAAACTTATTACAATAATTACAGGTGGGGAATACTTCTATCCATCATCCTAATACCCCTCACTGTCCATGCCTTTTTGTACAGGTTTACAGGTTTACAGTTTTTGCGTGCACGCATGTGGTGGGAATTGCCATCGTGTAGTTTCCCCTCTAGGCAGAGTTTCGGCTCTTGCGTAAATCTGAAATTCGATTTCTGTGTTGGTTGTGGGGCTTTCGATTTCAGGTTTGTACGACTTTGAAAATGGCAATCAAGGGGCTGATGGTCGTTGCCTTTGCGGCAGCATTGGGTGTGCACGCTGAACCTGAGGCTCCAGCTCGGTGTGCAAACGGCGAAGTTCGCTTCGAGGGTCATGCGACTTTTGAGGAGAGTGATCGTCCTGACACCCTTTCAAAGGAAGCTGTATTGACAATTGATGTTTCAGAGGAAGTGGCATCGGGGGAGGAGCCGAAGACGCCTATTTACACTCACACCGTCCCTCTTGAAAAGTACACCCCTGAAGCAGAGATCCCATACGCCTTCTGCGTCGACCTGAGCAGCGTTGAAGCAAAGAAGATTTCTCTCAAGGCGCGCGTCACAGACCCCGACGGTGAGGCCAAGGTGGAATGCATCGGGGAGACAGTCGTTACAGCCGGGAGCGACAGCTACGAGGCGGATCTGACTCTGGCGAAGGTCGACGGTAGCAGCAGCACCAACGAACCCTCTGTAGCGGACTGCAACTTTGCGCAACTCGCAGAAGATGTCACTGGCATCGCCGTGAAGGCTACAGTTAAGATTGGGGCCCCTAAGGCGCTGCCTAAGCCAACATATCTAGTGGTCACTCTTAAGGAAACTGACGCGGAGACAGGCGAACCAGAGGTAATTTCGCTATTTTCTGGCGATATCAGCGCCATCTATGAACCAGAAAGGCCCGTGCCCGCCTTCCTCTGTGCCAAAGTGCCGACGACTGCCGAGGAAATTCCCAAATATACACTCGAAGCCTCTGTTCACATGGGCTGGGACGGATATGCAAACCCTAACGATGAGGACCGGACCCTTAGAAAAGGCGATCTCGTTACTAGGAAACCTATTGAGGTTCCCATTACCCCTGAGCAGCACGACTATTCCGTCAACATCACTGTCAAGCCCTACAACCCTTCCGCTTGAGTTCGCTGCATGTACATCTCAGCTGTAGGCACACTGCAGATGTGCAGCAGTGACAGCAGGCAACTCCCCAGAGCCTCATAGCCACACCGTGGCAGGTAGATAGCCTTCCTTTTGCCAAATCTTACAACGCAAAGGTTTCAGCTGAAGGACGGCAATCAACAAAGGGGGCAGTAGTGAATTTTAGCTCCAGATGCCGATCCGTTTCACATGGTTTACAATATATATCGAGCAGGGGGGCGCCCTCGGTCCTAACCCAAAGTAAACTAAGTATAAGTTCAGCACTCCTCGTAGTGAACTGAAGTTAAAGTGTTTGTACACGACAACGCTGACGACGCAGATGATGGACGCGTCACAGCAGCTTCGAGAGCGCATAAAGCCTTTGAATGTTGGCAGAGCGAGGTTACGGCGAAGCAGGAGCGCAAACTGAAGAGAGATCAAAAGAGGAGGTGGAAAACAAGCAATTCGAGGAAAGTATTGCAGGGTGAGACCCATTGCCAGTCGCTGCCGGAACTCCCATAGGAGGTAAACGGCATGCGGAATGAACAAGGGATTGAAATGATAAGCTAGATAAGCGAAGGGCTGCAAACAAACCAAGAGGACAATCGATAAAACTAATGCAACGTTCTGGATCGCTTCAGATTCGCACGCAAACCCGAAGCCTCCCCCGAGTAGGTGCGGTCCTCCACGGGACGCATTTCCTGACGCAGTGACTGAAAAACGCAAATTGACAAAAGCAAATATAAAGGCGAACAATAGACGATTCGCCAAGGGCGTGCACCAAGGCTTTCAAGGGAATTCAGCATTAAAGATGTAAACGAGACGGAAAGCGGGGGACACCCAACGCAAAACTTCACAGCATTCTAATCATGGAGCGGGAAGCATAGATATAAGTGCTCATGTATAACTTTGAAGCATCCCATCTGCTACTCTGGACCTACCTTTAGTTTTTTTGCCTTCTGCTGGTACTTCATTCTGTTGTGCACGCGCGCGTTGCCCTCGAACTTCTTTCGTTTTCGCACTAATCCCCTGTTTGTTTTTATCTCCCGCGTTATGCCTGCGCCACCGCACGATGCATCACATGTTGAATCCGATACCCGAGTGTGTAGTTCGATCATAAACACTCAGGCTTGTTGGCGAGAGCTGCCTACACTCCAGTTCGTGCCGGTGAAATTGCCAGGGCTCGAAGCCGCTGCGAAATTGTAGAGTTTTGAGTAGTAGTGCCTTTACGTGCTACTTGAATCAGAATGCACGACAAGCCTACGCCCGAAACCCAAGAAACCCGATCGCTGCTTACGCCTCTGCCCCTCAACTTCTTCCTCCTCCTGCGGCAAAAACGCTTCAGCCTTTTCCTTCATTCGTTGTTTCTTTTGTAACTTCTTCATCTTTGTTTCTCCAACTAGCGCTGCAAACTCCTCATCTTCGCTCTCCTCTCTCGCAGGCTTTCTTGAGTTTTGTCTGCAAAGACACACAGAGAGGTTGCTGACTTGCTTCTGACTTGGCGAATGCTCTTCGCATGTCTACATTTTTCTTGGCACAAGCCAAATGTGAAACGAATACTCCTAAGGAGACCATGATCCAGTTTGATGAACACGGAAACGCAACAGAACGCAGCTCGGGTGTCTACGTTCAGCCTTGCGGCTTCGCGGAGAAATTCCAAGGCCTACTTGTGCATCTCTTTGTTAGTGCGTCTGCTCAAATGCTGCAGGTTCTGTTGTCGGGCGATGATGAGTTTTTCTGCTTGGGCTTTATGCGTTTTCGCTGCTTCTTCTGCTGCTTGTTTAGCAGCATTCAGGTAATGACCGAGAACACCTTTTGCCTTCACTTTCTTGGCATTTGAATGGATACCTAATTCGTCGTCCTCCTCTCCTCCCAACGGCTGCTCATAGAACACTGCCAAATCCTCTAAAGTCGAGCCCACTGCAGCTGCAGCCCGCCTCTCGAACTGTGCGCGCTGCGCAGCTTGAGCTGCAAAAGGTGAACAGACGCAAGATGCTAGCACTAAACAGCCGCAAACAACTTGGTGAATAATAGTTCATCTTGCATATGACATAGAGTCCCAAAATATAGAAACCGGCCCAACCCATAGCAGTCCTTACATATGCGCACGGCTGCATAGTTTTGATGAAGTCCACCCACATGAACGAAACAACAGTAGTCCCATGAATCCCAGAAGACAAAACAAGACTCAAACACCCCAAGTCGCAGCGCACTGACCTAAATACCCCCGGCCCGCAGCGCCTGGTTTGTTGTTACTATCTCCATTTCAATACGCATACAGGAAACAATACCTTTTCTCTCTTTCTTGGAGAGTGAGCGACGCATGAGCTCAAATTGTTCTTCGTCCTCCTCCCCGTTACTCCCACGCAAAAGCCCTGCCTCTCGTGCCGCTGCTCGGTGCGCCTGCGCTGCTATGAATCTCTCAATTCCGATTTCTTCCGGCGCATCGCTCGTCATTTCTCTCACTGCTCGGACCATTTCGCTCTTCTTGAGCCTCTCCGCCGCACGTTGCAGTTCGCGAGAAGCTCGCGTCTGTGCAGGCACCTGGACGCAAAAGGAAAGCAAACGAGGAGACACTGGAACTTAGTTGCACGCTTCATGTGCTATTCGGTGCGAATTATGCAGCGGGATATATAACGGGGGCGCCAGGCGTCTGTTGATGTACTTTGTCTGCGGTGTATTCCATAGAGACCATTTTTGGTGGTTTGTAGGCCTGACTGCCTTTCGCATCCTCATCCTCAGACCCCGAGCCGCCGCTCTCTGTACTCTTCTCCTCACCAGACAGCAGCCCCTCTTGTTCCTCTTCGTCCGATTCTCCCATGGCAGCGAACGCCTCAGGCCGGGCTCTCGGCGCGGCACCTACATCAGACTGGAAGCCTGTACGTACACCCGAAATGCAGCCAATCAGCGGTCAGGGAGACGCAGCGTGCGCAAAACTAACCCATGCAGCACGAACACAATTTGCCTAAGGTCCCCCGTCTTTGCAGCGCGCAACCAAAAATCGTCTGAACATCCAGAGAGTCATGATGCAGTGAAGCGATGCAGTGTCAATAATTCACTTACACTACAACCGACACGCAAATACCGTCCAATGCAATTAATAAAGCAAGCACCGAGCACACTACGAACCTGCGCCTCCCTCGTGACTAACAAACAATTGGTGCATGATTGACGTTATCGACTCCTAACGTGCACTACTTCAAATACACTTGGCGCGCAATCGAAAAACAATTAGCAATGCTTATCCCAATAGTTGCTCAAGTTTCTGAAATGCCACCGCCATGCAGAGCATATCACTAAGATGGGGTGCAACAACAGTAAAGGCTGAATCTCAAAGAAAGACAACTGCTGCTGCTGCACTTGAAAGGATACACGGGTATTTCTAGGAGCGGATGTGCATTTGAATACATATGTACACATTCCTTCTGCAGAGGTAACGCGTATATAGTAAGAAAGGGACAGGCAGTGAGCTTACTATCCCCGCCATCGGTAAGAAGCCTCTCCAGCTGCGGCTTGAGGGCAGCCTCTATAGGCCGCAGCTTCTGCAGCAACAGTCGGGACTCTATGAGTCTTTCCACTACGGGGTGGCTCGCCACAGGGACCCCGTGGGCCTTCAGCACGATGTAGTAACTCAAATAACTCAAGTACGAGAGCAGCAGCTGATTCTTCGCGTCCAACAGGGAAACGCCCTGCAAGCGGACAGACGAAAGAAAATGGCAAAAAGGAGATCGATGGACTGCCGAAAACGGCTCTCACATGCATAGCCCTAAACAAATGTGGAAGTGGTGCCTTCTTAAAAACGCTGTGGAGAGCATCATCATGGTGCCTGTGCGCTGCCTATACACCAGACGCACTTCTTTTGTGAGGAAGTTTCTGCGTTTTGCAAGAGAGACAAGGGGTTCGACTTTGCTGTTTATTTCCCCAAGGGCATCTTGCAGCTCCTTCAGCAACCCCTGCAGCTCTGGATGCGCAGTTGCGACGATTTGCTTCAATTCCTCTTCACACAGTCCTGCAGCAACCGCTTGTGGTATCTGCTGCTGCTGCCCATGCTCCGCAGAAGTAGACAAGCCGTCCAATATTGCGTCCACCTCCTGCAGAGGAACACATGACAGCCACACAAGGGACGGAACAGAAAAGTCCCACGCATGCATCCCACAGCTCAGTACACCCTAAGGCCTACGCTGAACACAACCACGAATCCAGGAGCTATCCCTTCCACAACGAAACCCTACTTCTTCTCCAAACAGCCAAATCGTAAAGGGCATGCGCCTCATATTTACGTTGACTTCAGCTGTACTTCAGCCCATTTGAGCACCCGCAGTACGCATGAACAACCTGCACGAGTGTGATAATATATAGAAAGTTAAACGAGCAACAGGTCTGCAACAGCATTTGCAAGGATCTAGTCCCTCACTGCATCAAGCCTGGCTTTCCAAAGCAGGTCTTTCTCTGCTCCCTCTTTGCCTTCAGATTGCTGCAGCGCTTGCTGCGCCTTCGAGCCCAGTGACTTGTCCTGCAGCGCCAGCAGCTGCTTCAGGGCCTCTAGGGATCGGGCGTCGGCGCCGAAATCAGCTTCCGTCATTCCCTCAACGTCTTCCACCTCTGCTACGCGCACCGCCTCCTTCATCTTCTCCATCATTTCCTCTTCATCTTCGCTGCTCTCACCGCTGCTGCTTTCCCCGTAAAAGTCCTTCGCCCGGCGGCCCCACGCAGTCCGACTCTCCTCGGCACCGCTGTCTGTACAGCACAAACATCCATACACAACATGCATGCTTCATCAACACGAGGAACACTGCCAAGAAGGGGAAAACAGACACTTGAAGCAGGCAGATTTAAGAATATGAAAAACAGCAACGCTATAGCCACCGAATTGCAAAAACAACTTAACCCTTTTTAATAGCCCAGACCCGGAAACGGGTGGCAAAGAGAGGGATAAACACAGAAACTGAACTGATAATGGGCAAAAACTGACGTGGAATTAGCGTAAACTAATTCCTCGTCAGGTTTTGCCCATCGGAGAAGGGACAAGTGTCGAAGAACAGCTTGTGTTACCTGAGGATGCATCGTCACCCTCCTCTTCATCTGCTGCGGACGCCTGCGAATCACTTTGCCCGTCGTCATCGCTTTCCTCGTCTTCTTCGCTGGCCGCGTGTTCGGCCCCCTCGAGGCCCATTTGTCGTAGCATGTCGCTTTCATCCTCGCTCGAGTTTTCATCTCTGCCTTGTCCGTCTAGCGGGAGAAAGTCTTCAGAACTGTCAGAGAGATACGCCCCCTCTGATGCAGCTGATGAGCCCTTTTTGGAACCTCCGCGGCGAGCAGAAGAAACGCTCGGACGAGCCCCAACCCCCCGGCCTCCTCCCCGCTTTGCCTTCGTCATTGAAGGTGTCCGGGAGGAAACGCTGAAAGCAGTCAACTGATGGGAAACACTGGTGAATAATCGGACTTAATTGTTATTTTAAAAAAATGAAGAGCGACTGACAGCATGCTATGACTCATAAGCCATCAACTAGAAAGAAGCGGATCGCACAGTTCGTGTATCGACAGCTTGGGCTGAAGCACTGAAGGCAGCCGATCGCCTCAATAATGGGCAGTGAAAACCCGACATAAACTGCACCACCAACATAAATTACCCCTTGAATATCCTTTTCGCAAAAATTTCACCAAATCCGCTCTTGATACGACACAGAAGGCCCGGACGAACAGGGGACTGCGGGGCCGTGACGAAGGAAACCCGCACGAGTTATTTGCGTTCCATGGACATTTCCGAAGATCTATGGGCTGTTTGTCGCTTCCAAAAACTGAACACGCAAATAATGCTACTTCTACACTATCCAAAAGAATCCCAGTGCATGCGCATATAACGCCAGCAGCCCCACCACAGAGCTTGTACCAATCTGCAAGTCGAGATATATGTAGGTGATAGACAGACTCATTCTATGAGCAATGACTTAGTTCAGAATACTTAACACACACCTTCTTCCCATTTAGAGTCAACAAAACATCCGAGGGTGGGATGATGCAAATATTGTCTGCCTGCATGCTGTAGCATGGTATGTGTGGGAGGTTGGCACGTGAACGCCCACTTGGCCTTAGTGAGCAACCCGCATGCAAGGAGAAGTACAAAAGCTGTCTACTACACTGTTATAGCAGGCAGAAAAGGTAGGGCTGCTCGTGCTTGAGTGTGGAGGTGCCCTGCAACTCATCTCAGGGCGCCTCCGCTCCCCAAGTCCCAGGCCCTTGAGCTACTGTGCCGAGAACGTCTGGGTGAGGGAAAGGACTTAAGCCGTTTTGTTTTTTAAGTCATATTTTAAGTTTTTCGGCTCTGTTGCAGGTCGCAACGGTCCTCGGAAAGGATCGCGGTTTCCCGTTGCCCTTGCCGGCTCCAAACAGCGAACAGCCCCTCCAGTTTATTGTTCTACTAGGTTATGCGTGAATGGTTAATAGTTAAAGAAATAATGCGGAGCTTGCTAGGCGTTCCGAGCCCCCACTGCCAGGTCTCCCGAGCTATTGCGCAGCGTCTGCACACAACTGAAAAGAAGACCTTGGGCCAATCCACCGTCACCTTTAGCTACAACAACTTGACGAGCAAGGAAGAATTCTCAATGCTGCTTTTTTGGTTTTCTAGTCTACACTCGTGGGTGCGCTTTTACTACGAACTAGCGCCAGACTGCCTAGTTGTTTACACCAGGCGTCAAGAGCCGTGTCCCCCTACAAGCTGCAGTTAATCTTTTCGACTTCGCATGTATCACAGGTATGTCTCTCTATTTCGAAGGGGAGCATCCGGCAACTGCTCATTTGTCTTAAATTCAGAGAATTAAACTCGGCAGGAACATTCAGATTGTCCTTCAAAGTGGAACAGTAAAAAAGAAACCACAACACACCAGCGCCGTGTTTGCTCCCACCCGCAAACACGGCCCGCATCGCTTCCTCCGCTGCGGAGTGTTCTAAGCTGCAATTAACGGTTGACGACAGTGCAAGAGATCCCACACCGGCGGAAGCGAGGCAACGAGATTATTGCCACTACCGCTGCTGCAGATCTACAAGAAAGGCGTAAGACCACCTTGTTGATCTGCAGCCACTGACACCCAAAAGAGGTGGAGCTGCTGCAGCCGGCTCCTCTAATAGAAACAACCCCGTGGGATACTCCTCAATGCCGCTGACATGTTCATGTACCTGCTGGCTGAATGCAAGCTGTTCCCCCCCTGGAAATCAAAGAGCAACAGTTGTATATTCAAGCGAACGTTTGGCCGCAAAAACGGTTAAAGCGCATTTCGGGATGGGCGTTAAAAGGAAGTGAAGATGATGGCCAGCCAAGGCGCCACGTAAGTCTTTATTAAACTGTCGGTGGCCGCAAGCTGGCCCGCCTTGATTATGAAGGCGACTCCCTCATAAAGCCGATTTTCTTCTGCATGCCCCCTAGCGGAGGGCTCTGCAGAGAAGAGCACCTCTGCCGCAGCAGCAGCTAGGTATTCGCTGCTTGCTGCTCTGCTGCGTACCGCTAGCAACAGCCTCAAGAGGCTGTCCTTCAGTTCGGGGTCAGAACCTAGACAGTCGTTCACCACCAATGTCTCCCACAAATCCACTGCCTTCGCCTGTTGGCGCCTAGCTTGCATGCTTCGCTGAAGCTTAGCAGCAATCTCCTCTGTGTAGCCCCCCGCGTGGCTGGCACGGCCGTCATCAGCCGCAAGTTTCGCCTCCACCGCTGCATTCTCTAGACATGCTAAGTCCAAGGCCAACATGAGGCGAAGCGTTTCTTCACTCTTATATGGGCTTTCAAACACAGAAGGGGGCATACCTGCCACCCAGTTCACAGAAGCAAGGAACTGCTCACGCACAGCATCCCAGTCTTCACCCCTCACCGTTAACAGCAGGCCATGGTCACTCGTATGCTTCAGCGCGGCAAATGCTGCCTGCAAGTTTGGGGTTGCAGGGACCTTGTTAACATCGGGGGCTCCTGAATGGAACCCATCGACTCCCCCGTACGTTGGATCTTGCAATTGGCCCGGCTGCTGGTCTTCCTGGTCGTGATGTGACAGTGCGCCCGGCGCATGCTGCCGCCAACTCTGCATTCGGTGCATCCTGTACACTGCAATGGGGAGAATAAAAGTAAGCAGAAGCAGGCCGAGGAGCAAGACCCCCGTCATGCGCCCTGTCACACCCTCCCCCAGCCCCCAGGAAGCAGTTATAGACTTCTTATATCGGGCCCGCCGTCGTCGTCTTTCTTTGCGAAAATCAGAAAATTTCCGGCTTTCCTCAACTGCGCTTCCGTCTTGCCCCAATTCTCGTTCTCTCCACTGGATGGTCGTGTTCGCGGATCCCGGTTGTTCATCGTCCTGTTCTCGCCCTAAAGCGCGCCCATCGGCGCTAGTTGGTGATGTTTCCATAGCCATTTTGCCCTTCCTACTCAGCTGAGCACAAAAATAACCTTAAATCCCCTGCAAGCAAACCACAGCAGACGACCTCCTCCTCCGCCCACCGCCATGCCTAAAAATACAGTGGGGAACGGCTTCCGCCAGACAGTGGCACCCACTGTGTTTCAGTGTTCACAGAATGAAAGTATAAAGAGCAATTAAATCCATCAAACAGAACGGTGGGGCTGCTTTCGTATGGCGTCTGTTCTGTCCTGGTCGTCAGCCCCATACCAGGTTCGCAGCCTTGCTGCAAATTCAAGGCGAAGTAGGCGGGCAACTGTCAAAAAGGACATTTTAAAGCCCCTTTTGACATCGCTTTTACAGCCAGAGGTTCTCTTGGGTAAGATGGAGTAACCGAAGCAGAATCTGCTGGGAGTCGTGGGAAAGGTACTGGGCTTGTGAACAAGGATCTGCTCTTATCCTGCTTGTTGTCATAAACCGAATCCTCGCACAAGCCTTTTGTGGCTCCTTTTATAACTCTAAGTTAGCTGTTTAGCGGAAATGCTTTAAAGTAGGTTCGCTTGGGAGCTGGAGGCATCGGCGGAGGCTCGACGCAAGCCGGCATTGGGACTCATGTTTCTTGGCAGAGCAGGCCGCTGGAATCGTGGCAATGCTTTCTCTGCGTTACAAATCTAGACGCATCGAGTCTAGAGGAAGGCCCCTCACCGGTGCGCTTACACCTGGGCTATTATTGGGGAAGAGGGCCGACCGCCCCGATCCTTCTGTAGATTATACAGGTGGTGGTCAATTGAGCGACTCACCGCAGCAGACTAATGGTTCCCGAGCTCAGAGGCAGCGGCAGCAGCAGCAGGAGGCCGCCGATGAGCCAGCGTGCACACCTAGTAAGGCTGCACACAATGCTGCACAACAGTCCAGCACGGAGAGCCTGCATTGCCGTGGTGGGGAAAGCTCCTTCTTCCGAGCCCGCGAGAAGAAGAAAAGGCAGAAACGAAAGAGGAATTTAGTCGGAGAGGATGGTGGAGAAGGCAAAGTAGGCTCGAAGCACATGAGTTTTCACTCGGGACCAGAGGGGAATTTGAGCCAACAGGCAGCAAACAGATTCGGCAGTGAGCTGTCGTCTTCTCTCGAGGAGGCGAAGGTAGTGGAAGTCGCCAGCAGCCATCAGCACCAAAAGCAGCAGAATCAGGAGCAGCAGCAGCAGCAGTTGCTGGTGAAGCAGTTCTCAGGTCGAGGAGCAGCAGCGAGCTTCTCTTCCAACGTCATCGATCGTCTGCAAGGCGGCCGCTTTCGCTCTTTAAATGAATTTCTCTATACAAAAAAGGGGGATGAGGCCTTTTCAAAATATCAAGAAGAGCCGCAGTTGTTTGACATTGTCAGTATTGCACAATCCACTCGCGCTCTTTTGTGTTCTTGGTTTTTCTCCGGTCAGTGAATGCTAACAGACTACTTGGTTGCAAGAACGAACTCTGCCAGCTACAGGTACTCTTGCTGCTTCAGCAGGGGTCGTTCGAGACTGTGAGCCTAAAAGATGCTCATTTTCCTGCTGCTGCTACTACTGCTGCTGGTTTTGTGGGACTCCTTCAGTACCATGCCGGCTACAGGGCGCAAGTACGCCGTTGGCCTTTGAATCCTTTGGACTGTGTTGCTGCCTGGTTGTCGAAACGCCCGAAGGAATGGATGTGAGTTGGTGATGATGTAGGACTCGGTTGCTTGCACTTGTTTGTGAGGGCGACGCAGTACGAACGCTGAATAAGACGTAGGGAGGAGCTTCACCCACTCCTCTTCTGCTTTCTATTTGCATTGTTTGCAGAGTCGGTGACTTCGGATGCGGAGAGGCGGCTCTCTCCTTGCGTTTTCCAGAGAGGTAATTCGATTCGAAGCGATTGAATATCTATCTGTATGAAGATGTGGTTCGTTTGCCCTTGGCTGTGCTTTGCCGGGGAGGTTCAGGTAGGACCCAGTTGGCATTTCAATCCTCCCAGAAGCCTTTTCTCCTTTGAAATGAATTTGCTCTCTGCTGTTTGCTTTGCGCTGCGTAGGAAGTTTCATTCTTTTGACTTGGTGGCTGCAAACGAGCGGATCACGGCTTGCGACATCTCCAATGTATGTCCACGTCTACCCGTCTTCTAAATGAACGCCTTCTCGTAGTTTGGATGTGAAATGAGGCATTTATTCAGCTCAGTTTGCTCATTCCGTACTCTTCTAGTTTGCAAGAGGGCTGCTGTGAGTGATGGGCCGCATTCTGTTTCTTTGTGGACTGCAGGTGCCCCTTGCTGACGCCAGTTTAGATGTGGCGGTGTTTTGTTTGAGTTTGATGGGCCAAAACTGGCCAGCTTTCTTAAAGGAGGCGCGAAGAGTCCTCAGGAACAGGTATGCGTGGGAATAGCTTCACTTCTGAGTTGTTGCACCAGGCATCCTGTACGGCTTCCCCTTGAACATTCCTACATGCATGCATCAGGTATTACATGCATTAACTAGTATTGCACCATTTCATGCAAACCATATAATATTGTTTTATGTAGAAAACACAACAATTATGTGTTAGAAATATTAATACACTCATCATTACCACATATAGAGGCTGCAGCTGAAGTGGGCGGTCGCACGCGGGCCTTAGTGTGCCGTTAAGAGCTTCTCCATTTGGCCTTTTTTGCCTTGACAGTCAGTGTAGTGGCTCGAGTGGCAACTGCGGTGTGCTGACGAATCAGGAGGAAGGAACCGTTTGTGTTCACTGCGTCTGCAGCGGCCATTTGATCATTGCTGAGGTCTCTTCTCGCATGGCATCTTTATCTGCGTTTGTTGCCGCTGTCGAGAGTTTAGGGTTCAGAAAGACCAAGCAAGTGGGCTGTTTACGGCGCTTTCCTCAGTCCGGTGCATCTTTGGTTTTTTCATGCCAGCGTCTATTTGAAGTGCAGTAAGCTGTCTTTTGTTCATTCTTCTTCTGTTTTGCGTTGCAGAAGGATTTGGCTTCTTTTTTCGTGCTGTTAGTGTTTCAAGTGGAGGAACAATCAAAGATAAACCTTAAAAAGCTTTCTCCTAACCTGCTGCAGCCTTGTCTCTACAAACGCCGCTAGGTGGCGCTTGCACAAACGGCAGCATGCAGAAGGCAGCAGCAGCAGCAAGTGTCGTTGCTACTGTCGCTTAATGTAGCAAACAAACAAGCAACATGAGTCGGTACTGCCCATCCGTGCACGGGCTGTGCATTCAGTTCAAATGAACTTCGATTTAATTTGCTGCATGCGGACTGGCGCTGCCACTGGCGTGTGGGAGCGATTTTCTCTGTTTTTTGTTGCCATTTGCTCCGCTGCGAGCCGACCGGTACTGCTCATAGGCGACGGAGTCCTTGGGGTATGTGAAGTGCATAAGTCCATACTGCAAACCAATCAAGGAAAACCGAAGCAAGATACAACTTGCAGCACGCGCCAACAAAAACAAGCTTAGAACAATGAACACTCGAAAGCCGTCCTTTTCGAGCGAAGACAGCTGCTGCGAATAGCATTGGAGAGGGGAGAGGACGGCGGGCGGTATCTGACGATGAGTTTGAACTTTCTACAGTTGCGTCTGACCAGATGCCAACTAAAGCAATTAACAAAGAAGAACTCACCAAAAAGAAGCAAATGGTCCACGGGAAGGCAGTGGCCACCAGCAACGCATTCGCCAAGGCCTGCACACAAAGACAAATCCAAAACGTTCCCTTCTCCCTGTACAGTTCATAGAACGTCTACAAGACAGCAAAAGCTAGCGGCACCTAAACGATAAAGCTGTGCCGCATGCAGATGTTTGCACACTCTTTGAGCTCAGGAGGGAAGGCTGATGCTTGGAATTTCCCTCACGTCTGTATTCCTTCGGGCGTCTGCTGCTGTGTGAAAAGGAACTCCCGTCTTATACCCAAAAATCGACTCCGCTGCAGCCAAGCAAAGGCAGTTGAAGGAGGGGGACTGCGTCCGTCAGTCTGGCCTGAGTCTGGTGGTTTGTGCAGCTCTCCAACTGCGTGCGCAGTGTCTTTTTTTCAACGTTTGGTTAGACTACTCGCTGTTTACGCTTTTAACTACTCCGCACTCCAGTGTAGGCGTCCATGCAACTGTCTATTACAAGGCATTTACCCAATAGAGCAATCACTGGAGAGCCCAGCAGAGCCGACACGCTGCCTTCGATGGCAATCTGAGTGGCGAATACTGTCGCTCGAGAATCGGGCTCCACGATTTCAGATAAGATCGGCCGGTTAACACCGCTGGGACACCATGAGATTGCGAAACCTGAAGTGAATCGGATGAAGCGCAAAGAAAAATTTAAATAGGAACGGTATCCTCTTTGAGACCAAGGCAACACAAAAGGAAACAGTCTTGATGAAGCGAATGGAAGCAGAGGGAGGTACTCTTTGCACTGAGAAGGAAACAGCTGGTGTAAAGAGCAGAAACCGCGGGCGCCTCACCGCGATACAGTTACACCATATCGTTGGTTCTATTCCAGCCACGTGAAAGTACAGTTCATGCATGCGTACAACATGTATATATATATATATATACATATATATATAATCATGCATGCGCACAATATATTAATCATGCATGCGCACAATAGATAACGTGTATGAAATATGGCCCCTACAAAGTAGATGGTGCGCTGCGTTGAATGGCTTTCAAAGGAGAGCATTTATGTTTTGTTCGCTTGCCTTCTTACACCTTGCGAGGGCGATGATGTTGTTCGCTTACCGAGGAAAAGCATGTCTACTGCATATAGCCCAAAATACTCTGGCCTTCTGGGGATACCCAGCAAGCCAGCGTAGATGAGGGGTAGGGCCAAGAGGGTACCGAGCTGCCCCACGAGAGGTCGCCCGTGGAAAGCGTTGATTCTTTCTGCTTGATCGCCCAGCCAACCACCGAAGAGGGAGCCCAGCAGACCGCCTACAAGAGGGCAAGCAGTGAGGAGAGAGGCCTGCCAATCCGGCATACCCACGTATTGGAAATAAAGAGTATAAAACTGGAAGGCGTGCAGCGGGATGTAGCCGCAGATGCCCTGCAGCAGCAGCAGCAAGAACGTCCGGCTGAGCGCAGCGCGACAGAAGTTGTTGCACCGACGGTAGAGTTCATACAATGCACTTTCTCGGTTTCTTTTAACTCCCTCCAAAGCCCAAACTCCCCTCATTTCATCTAATATTACTACTGGATGACGGCGCGGTTCCTTCGCAACGATCTGCACCAGCGCCGCTGCAAACAGTGACAGAACGCCTGCCGAAAAGAAAGCGACTCGCCATCCCTGCAACCGCAGTAAGAGCAACATAAAAAAGAGAAACGTACACGCAAAGTTCAAACAAACAAATTAAAAACGGGTCGGGTAAATGGGCAATATATGACAAGATCGAAACGAACCAGTTCGCATATACTATTGACGTGAGCACGGTAAATAACACTGCAAAATGGAAAGTACTAAGGCGAACACTTTCCCTTTTTACTTCTAAAAGGCTCGTGAGTTGTCCACGCAAAAGCAGCTACCAGGGAAGCCTGTCCCATGCAGTGTCGCATCTTGCTTACAACCTTTCATGAGATGTATGTTCTCGTGGTAGGGATTTGCTCAATTAATATTTGAATTGTTCGACGCACCTCAACACCTTCTACGACAGTTAAGCTGGCAAGAGAGCCCCCCATCATCGCGCCCAAAATGCACCCTGAACAAGCAAAACAATTCGTCAAAAAGGCCGAATACGTCATCTTTTATTCCAGTCCTTTGCTCTATTTTCGTTTCTGACGACTGCCCTTTCGATGCACGCGGATTCCTCTTTCACCCTTAAGCCTGCATGTCCAGAAATTCAAGTGCAGGGCTAATGAGGAGCTGGCACTTAAGGCTAATAAGGGTTTAGGCATTCGGCTTGCCGGCGCAGAGGAACAGCTGAAGCCACCCGAAGTGTTCCCCCCGCATTGTTGGAGGGAAGAGGTCGGCTATGAGCGACTGCGCCACAGGGCCGATGCTGCGCAGTCGCAATTACGTGGAAGGATCGTCGCTAAAAGGAAGGCCCGCAGCACAGGTAGCGAGAGCACCAGCAGGCGCAGCATCAGCAGCAGTAGTGCCCGAAGCAGCAGCAGCAACAAAGTCGGCAACAGCAGCAGGAGCTGGGTAGCTGTTGCTGGTCAGATGTTGAGCATCTGGCTACCATTGAAGTTCTCATTCACCTGGCCATGGCCACCCCATTCAGCACTTTCAAAAGAGCGAACTGCCAGAAGAAAGTGGAGCTTGCCAGAAATATCGCCACGACTCCCCAACCTGCGCATCCTATGGACAAGAGCCGCACGCGAGACGTCCTGTCAGCCAGCAACCCCCAAAAGAGCCCTGAGATGGCCTGAGAAACGCTCTGGAGATAGCAGAAGAAGGCAGAGCAGACAAAAGCAAAGCAAGCAAAGGGCGCATCAACCATGACGTACGACTCCTGTACTGGTAGTGAACAGAACAACAGCCTCTCGGAGAGCACACATCGCCCAAGACCAAGAAAAGTGAAAAAGGGGAATCAAAAGGCTTTCCTGATAAAATACAAGCGAGCCAAGATCCTGCAGTGCCCAGTGGAAGTCGGATTGGAGCGCTTTGAAACTGGCGGGCATCAGCTGCATGTCTATTCCTTCGATGCCGCATACCACGTTCAGCACTGAGCAGACAGTACACGCATCCCAGGGCCCAAAGGACCTACAATGCACAGCCCTGTTTGGACGCAGCAACTCGAACAAAAAGTGACGCATGTGGTGGTATGACTGAAGCCTGATTCAAGCTGCCTCACCAGCTTGGGTCCTCGCGGTAGAAGCCCTCAGCTTGAACTCTCCAGGCTCGCGGGTTTTGCTCTGCCTTTCATGGCTGAACAAACAAAGCCCAAGCAATCCCAGACAAGCCAGTCCATACGGAATGGTAGTGGGAAAATAGCAACAAATGAGGCGCGGTGGCGATAATGAGTGAGGACGCAGGCAGGAACATCAGCTGCATGCTTCTCGGTATCTCTTATGCAGCCCTCCTCAGCTCCCTGTATCTGACAGATGAGTGCAGGCCGCAAAAATCCGCTTGGTGTGAGGACAACTAGGGGTTTCGGGGGGTTTTAATGCCTCACGTTTCACTTGCCGGCCCTCCCAGTAGCCCTCGGTTTTCGACAGAGTCAGCTCTGCTCTCTCCTGCTCCGCTTGCTGCGGAGGCAGCAGAAGGCTCCATGTTGTTGCTTTACGGAAGATGTTTCGCACCCATAAAATGAACTCACACCAGAGGAAGCTGGTGGTCCGGATCCGACAGTCGGCTGCCCGGCGCGGTTGACGTTGACAGTGGCAGGGGTGAAAGGCAGAGCAGACCGTGCATTCCACCACTGGAATTTATCACACACAAATATGCAAGAAACCTAAATGGAACAACCGGTGTAGGCTTAGCCATCAACGTGCATACCATGCAAAGATCGGACCAGTGTGCCTAATACGGGCGAGAATCAGCCAAGCCCGGCGTGAAACCTGTAGCACTGAAATTGTTTCGTAGGCGCAAAACTAAGCATTAGGCGATTAACTTGATTATGTCAAAAATTAGGAGAGGCTTTGCCGTTAGATCAATCGAGCGATTCCAGACACTGGCGAAACAGGACTCAGACAGCGAAGCCGCCGCTGCCGCCTCGGGCGCCGATCTATGATGACACCGCAAGGCAAAGGGCTCTAACTTGGGGCAAAACACGATATTGAATGCCAGTTGCAACTGTAGAAGCAATTAAAGGCAACTTAGAGGTACCGTTATTACGAAGATCTTTAGGGGTTGCCTTAATTCTCTCTGCACGAACAGCTCAGGGTGACCGACTGGCTGTTGGTGGGGCTGTGAGGACTGAAGCGAACGCAAGCCGCTTACTGTTCAATTGAATTAGAGAGCCACTCGCTTATACTTACGCACTCAGTATACAGTATCAGGACTGAAGTGAACGTTTCTTCTTGAGTGCGGATCCGAGCATCAACGTTTGCTGCTGTAGCAAGGTCTCTCTCAGATGCTGACAGACATATCGGCATCTGCTTGCATCAGGGCTGCTCGCAGTCAAGAGTAGTGTTTAACAATTCTCTGAGTTGTTCATGCATGCGTTTGAGGCGCGTGTATGCATGCACGGGGGGTTACCTCTCAGCAGGTGTTGCACCAGGTAGTCATGGCGAGATAAGAAGTGAGACTCTCGTTGTTGCTCCTCTCAACCTACCGGGCTAGCGCCCGGTAGGTTGTGAGGAGCAAGTCCACGCTGCGAACCCCAGAACGACAATGGCGGCATGGCGTATAGTATAGGGGTGAAGACGCATTGCTCGACAAAGGGACGGGGGAATTTTCGCATACTCTCCTTACAATCTCCGTGAGAGGCGCAGCCTTTTCTCCAGACGAATGGTAGAGATTGATCCGGATCTTCCCTCTGGTGGGGATACCACCAGTGGCAGGCTCGTCGTCGCATTAAAACAAGCGCCGTATCTGGATTCCATCAAAGTGATAGTACTGCTATTGCGAAAACAATTCATGGAGAATGCCGTCGCGCTTAGCGGCCGCGGGCTATGAGATGCGGAGGCAGTGGATGAATTTTCTTTTCCCATGGCTTGAGAAACTTCCATCAATATGGCAAAATAAGGGGATTTGTGGCCCTTGGTATCTCAGCACCCTCAGAGACTGGACCTAAATCTCACCAGCGGCTGAAAAGAAGGTAGGTGGTAGCACTATGGGCTTTCAACAACTCGCCTGGCATATAGGCAGGCAGCTATAGCCCCTCTGTAGAGTGTTAGATAAAAACTTCACGTTGTCGGGCCCCTAACGACAGTTAATTGCGAATTAGCTCCCACAGGAGAGATCAGGCGGGGTTCCGAACCTACTCATACGGTGGATTGGCAATGGACTGGAACCGTGAGGGGAGGCTGTGACGCCCGGAAAGGAGGTTAAATGCACTTTAAGAACTCTTATGAACTCTTAGCTTAAGCTTTTGGCTCATTTTAAAGTCACGAAGATCTTTGGATAAAAGGGAGGACTGTCGTTACGTAGCATTCTCGGCAAGAAGTTCGTACGCCTCGTGCCCGTTGGCCACTGGGGGCCAAGCGGATGTTTAGCATTTGTATGCAGTGTTTGCAGATGCATGAAGAGAAGATACGTGCACAGTTGCAAGTGAGAATGCGTTTGCAACATGCGTTGCAGCACGGTGCGTTGAAAGTCATGTCAGCCCTGCTCCTCTCCCTCCTAGAGCCAGGAGGCCCTTGGGCAGCAGTGCGCAGGCTGGCTGGCAAATGGGAATGATGCCATCGGCCGTTTTTGGGCAGTTATACTATCAATGGGCTTTTCGCGTTCTAGCAGCTTACGACGGTCTTCTCCTAAGACGGAGGATCCGCAATAGTACATCGACAGCTGCCACCACACAATACCACGCACACACGGTGAAAGGTGCAGTGGTAACGCATCTGTAGTTGGCTCCTACTTTGAAAGCTTATCTTTTAATTAAACGAATTCGTTAAATGATGTCAATCCAATTAATTAAATTTCTGTAGCTTGTTCAGCGTATTCATCAGCAGGTCCCTCGCCGCCTGCCGGTCTTCGCGCTGTACACAACGGGCGACGGCAGATGGAATAAAATGAGGCACGCTTTGACAGCCTAATTGACATACACATAATAAAAGTATTTAATTAAATTGAAAAAGAACGAAACCAAGAAATAATTGAAAGGCTGCAGCTCGAACCAAAGGGGCCGCAAGGATGCCGCGCCGCTGGCCCGAGACAGGAGCAGTGAGGAGGAACGGCAGTGGCCGCTTGCGCATGGGGGACTCAAGTGTACGTACACCTTTGTTAACAATTTCAAGAATCAATGGCTGCCTATTTGTTTTAATTCTGGATCCTGTCTCGCCAATTTACTGTTCGGGCTGCTTGGCTCGCGCCGCATGCAGCGGCAGCAGCAACAGGACCAGCAGCAGCAGCAGCAACTGCATGACTAGCAGTAGCAATAGGGCAGCCAAACACTCCCAGCAGCGCTCTTTGAGGCTACATCAGCACTAACATCGAATCTCACTTTTGCAGGTGCAGCAGCAGCAGCGGCAAGGGGAGCAGTAGCAGCAGCAGCCTCCGTCTCGCTCCCGAAGTTGTAAGCCTTCTCCTTTGACATCTAGGGGCTTCCTTTTGAGTTTCTCTCCTCAGCACATCCCAGTCTTCGCCTTTACGCCATTTGTCCACTCTTTTATCTCCAGCTGTTGCGACCACCGCCGCTGCCGTTGTGCTGCTCCTGCTGCACCAGGAACTCTACTCGTCCCACAGGTGTACGGGGATCTCGCTGGGGCGGGCCTGGAGCTGCTGCTGCTGCTGCACCAGGAGAATTGGCCGCCTTGCAGCAGCAGCAACAGCAGCAACGGCAGCAACAGCAGCAACGGCAGCAGCGTTAGCAGCAGCGGTAACAGCAGCAGACCCGGCAGTGGCAATGCTCGTCTTCGGCCCTGTGATCTTTTTCTCTCCACTTCAGCTTCGACGAGCAGCTGGCCCTACAGCTGCTGCAGCAGCGGCAGCAACCGCAGCAGCAGCAGCAGCAGTAACAGCAACAACAGGGCGTCCGATGGCCGTTTCTGCGGATCGTGTTGGTTGAGGGGCTTTCTGGATATATCGTTTGTCCTCTCTTTGGACTTTGCTTTTCTTGGTGTTGCCCCTTTTCTCTGAAGAGCCTCAGCAGCAGCAGTAGCAATAGCACGAGCAGCAGAAGCATAAGGAGGTGCAGCAACGCCAGCCGGACGAGCAGCAGCAGCAGAGCCAGACGAGCAGCAGGAACATCAGCAGCACAAGCATCGTGCGCAGCAGCACGAGCAGCCGCAGGCGCATTTAGAAGATGGGTTTGTGGGCGCGTTTGTGCCCTCGCGTTTGTGGCGCGGAGTGGCCTGTGCAGCTTTTGTGGCTGGTGTTGGAAAAGTTGGGTTTTGAACGGTGGGCAGTGAAATTCGAAGAGGGATCTGCGCAGCAGAAGCGCCTGGGGAACCTGGTGGTGCGTACGCATGCAGCAGCAGCAGCAGCAGCGGCAGCAGGGCAGCAGCAGCAGCAGCCAGACTGTCCTGCGAACGCGGCACTCGGGCTCAACAGCTGGACGAACTGTGTACGAACGACCCAATACACCTGGTGGAATTTCTTACCTTTGAATTTGCTGTCGCAAATAACACAACCCGCGAACTTTTATTTCTTAATAATGGCGCTGCTGCAGACGGTCCCGCAGATCAGCGACAGCGACGGGATGCCCACGTTCCTGTTTCCTTTGGGGCTGGTAATGGTGATAACGGCTGCGAAAGACGCATATGAGAACTTGAGTCGCGCGCGCGCAGACCGCATGGAGAATGCGCGCCGCTGCACTGTATGCACACCTCAAGGGTTGACAACGGTGGCTTGGGCTGAGCTTACCCCAGGCAGTATTGTTAAACTCGCAGCAGATGAAGCTGTTCCTGCGGATTTGGTGCTGCTGAACTGCGCCGACCCCTGTGGAGTTGCTTATGTAGACAGTGTACAGCTGGACGGCGAAACGAACCTAAAAAACAAGATGTGTATTCCTAGCATTGCAGCACTGGTTCAAAATGATGCAGATGCCGCCCGTCTCAAGTGTACGCTCTTCCGCCCTTTTCTATGCACACTGCAAGTTGCTCTGAGCGCCTTCTTGTTTGCTTCCTCTTGTTCATTTGTTGGTGGTTCCCCGTTTCCGTTCGTCTTGTTGATGCTGTTCTTGTTGGTGTGCTGTGGCTGTTTTGCTTTTGTCGTTTTTGTTGCTTCTTTCGTGCCGATCGTTTTGCTCCCTTAGGATGTGCTGTTGTTTCCTTTCTCTTTCCGGCTGTTTCTGTCTCCTTGTGTCTCTGTTCGTTGCCGTCTGTCTTTGCCTTCTTCGTCTTTCCCTCAGTATCTTCCTCTCATTTTTCCTTTTCCTTTCTGTCTGCCTGTCTTCGGACACGCAGGCGCACTGCTTCATAGTGTTGATTTGTGTCTGAGCGTTTGTTGCTTCTGTTTACTTACCTGCATTTCCGTATTTCGTCTGTCTGTTTGTCTGCTGCTGGTTGTTGCTTTCCCGCTCTCTCGGTGTTCTGCTGCATCCGTTGGTTTATGCGTTCGAAGGCCGGCTTTGCATGCATTCTCTGCATTTGTTCGACATAAAGTTAATACATGTGCCACTATAATATATTCCACAATAATGTTAAGTGGCGTTTTATTTGATGCTTTCAGTGGAAATACACTACGAAGTGCCGTCTGCTGAACTGTACAAATTCTCGGGGACCATTCTGCTGCTGCCCTCTGCAGACAGCAACGCAGCAGCAGCAGCAGGAGCAGCACCAGCAAAAACAGACCCACCGATTTCTCCAGGCAGTCTCCATATGGCTGTCTCGCCGATGGCTTCAACCCACAGCAACGGGGGCCAGCAGCAAATGACCGAGAGGCAGCAGCACCGGCAGCAGGAAGAGTTGCTGCTGCAGCAGCAGCAGCAGGAGGAAGACTTCTTGGTGGGAGGGACTGCTGCGCGCGGCGCTTCGCAGCCCGCTCTTCTGCAGCAGGAGCAGCAGCAGGAGCAGCTGCCACTTCAGCCGCCGCCGCAGCAGCTGCAGCAGCAGCAGCAGCAGCAGCAGTACGCTGTTGACGCTTCTCAGTTTGTGTGGCGTGGGGCAACCGTCCGCAGCACGGAGTGGATTTACGGCCTTGTGGTGTACACGGGCCATCAAACGCGCATCATGAAAAACACAAAACAAAGGGAATTGAAGTACTCGAGAACGCAGGTCGTGTACAACCAGCACGCTGTCCTCCTCGCCATTGCGCAGGTCTGCTGCTGCTATCGCTGCGGCTGCTGTTGTTGCTTTGGCTTCTGCTGTTACTGCGGGTGCTGGAGCATCTGCTGCCGATGGGAGTTGCTGATGCGGCGTTTGCAGCTGCTGTCGTTGCGGCTTCGGTGTTGCTGCTGGCGCTGTTGCTGCGGCTGCTCTTCTGTGAGGAATGAGAGGGTTGTTTGCGGACTGTGCGGATGTTGCCTGCAACAGTTGGGTTTAGGGTTTAGAGTTTGGGTGTGCGCTGCAGTTTATTATCTGCGCGGTGGCAGCTGTGGTGTACGCATTCAAAAGCCAGCATTTGTTCGCTGACGCCTGGTACCTTGAGACCAGCTGGGTGTCAGGCATTTCGAATTTCCTCACCTCCTTGGGCGTCGTAAGGCTTTTAGGGTTTAGGGTTTAGGGTTTAGGGTGTCTGCTCTCTCAAGGCGAGCTGGAAACGGCGTGTCAAGTCGCTCATTCCGCGAAACGAGGGTGGAGGGATTGAGGTTTAGTCGATTGGGGTGCCACTTGCTGGATTTAGGGTTTAGGGTTTAGGGTTTAGGGTTTTGTTGTGTGGGTGCGTAGGCGTTTGGGCGATACGTGCTGCTGCTGAGTTACTTCGTGCCCATAACTCTTCTGGTGCAGCTGGAAGTGTGCCGGTGGTGTCAGGCGAGTTTTTTATCTGCAGACAAGCGCATGAAGAGCAGTAGCAGCAGTAGCAGCGTGGGGGGCGCTGCGGCGCAGTCTGTCGCCCTCATGGATGAGCTGGGTAGCGTAACGCACATTTTTTCAGATAAGACCGGGACGCTGACGCAGAATTTGATGCAGTTCAGGTGTCTCGGCATCCAGGACAGGGTCTACGGATACGACGAATTCGAGGAAGAGGCAAGGGTTTTGGGTTTAGGGTTTGGGGGTTGGGGCTTGGCGTCCGGGGTCTGGGGTCTGGAGTTTGGGGTTTAGGGTTTACATCTCAGGATTTAGGTCTGGGGATTTCGAATTCCGTTCGTGATTAGAATTAAGTGCGAAATTGTGTGCCTGTGGGTCACGCTTGTGAAGGTCTCATGTCTGTTTAGTGTCTGGGGTGTTTGGCTTGCTTTTAGGGTTTCGGGTTTGGAATAACCGCTTACGGGTTAGGGTTTAGGGTTTAGGATTTAGGGCTTATGTTGCATTCGGAATAAGGCTTCACGGTTCAGGGCTTTAGGGTTTTGAGGTTTTAAAGCTCAGAGTTTAGGGTTTAGGGTTTGTGTGGTGTTGTGCTCAGAAGTCGTTTGTGGTGTCAGAAGCCTGTAGCGACTTGGAGCGTCTTGGCTCTCGCCATCCGTCGATGTCTTTAATAGGAGAAAACGAGTACTTAAGGCGAGGAAAGAAGAGGACAGAAACAGAAGAAGATGCAAATGTCTGCCCCAACGGCCACGTGAACTTCAACTTAAAAAGCTTCCTAACCGGCGTCGCAGCGGCTTCGCCTGAACACCGCAAAAAGGTGCATGCATGAAGAAAAGAGCAATCATGCATTCATGCAGATTCGGGGGTGCTTGGACTCGGGAATATGTACAATGCAGTAGTCCTGCTGCTGCTGCTTCTTGTGCTGCTGCTGCTGCATGGGCAACGGTAGCCGCATTCGGCCCGCACATCTCGAACAGGAGGGAGTAGGGTCAAGCGCTTAGAGTTTGCGGTTTAGGTTTTAGGATTTAGGGTTTAGGGTTTGTGCTGCAGGCTCGCGATGCCTTGCTGGTTTTGGCGTTGTGTCATTCGGTGCTGCCCAAACCCTCGGCGCCCCTGCCGGAGCCTCTTAACATCTGCTGCAGCACAGACGCTGCTGCGGCTCCTGCGGCTGCTGAGACTCTCGCTGGTGAGACCGACGCAGCACCTGCTGCTAAGGCTGCTGAAGGTGCTGCAGGAACAGCGTACCAGCTGCAGCAGCAGCTGCAGCAGCAGGGAGTGCGAGGAGATCAGCAGCAACAAATGCATGAACAGAACTCGCTGCAGACAGCGCAGCAGCAGCAACAGCAGCAACAGCAGCAGCAGCCATTAACTATCGCAAGTGGACAGCGAGCGACGCCGACGGAAGGGGAAGGCGAAAGAGAGGCAGCGGCCGAAGGCGAGCCAGCAGCAGCAGAAACTGGTAAGGAGAGGACCGTTTCAATTCGTTCCGTTGCCGTTTCCCCTGAGTCCGACTGTGGGGATCAGGTGTCTCTTGCCACCGATGGTTCTGCTGCTTCTGCTCCTGCTGCACGTGCGGATAATGCAGCAGCGCAGCATGCGGTCTTCCGCCTGCCCACGCCGGAGCACGGGCATCCCCCCAGCAGCTACAGCAACAGCAGCCGCTGCAGCAGCAGCAGAAAAAGCAGAAGAAGAGTCTTGGAAGGGGTCCGCTGGAGCTACAGCAGCTGCTACAGCGACAGCAGCTGCTATAGCGACAGCAGCTGCAGCAGCTGCAGTAGTGAGGATGAAGGCGAATACTCCCCTGCGCCACCAGCCTCCGCAGCAACAGCATTAGCAGCAGGGGCAGACACAGCATCGCGCGGCAGCAGCACCCGGCAGACAACTGTTCGTCAGCAGCAAATTGGCAGCAGCGTAGCAGCGCGCGGAGGGCACAAATTTCAGTATATGAGAAACCCCTCACTACACACGGAGGCTCCGGCTTTTCAACGTAACCCTAAACCCTAAACCCTAACCTCAAACCCTAAGCCGAGAGAGGCATTAGCCTTAAGACTGCGTCAAAGCTCGTACAGGGAGCGACCTGCGGCGTGGGGTGCACTGCACGCTGCTGTTTCTGCTTCTGCTTCTGCTGCTGCTTTCACTGTTTCCGTTTATATGAGCCATTTCCTGGTGCACTTTTGTGACTGCTGCTGCTGTTGCTGCAGCTGATGGGGAGGCGGCGGTGGGTTGCGCGAGCGTGGATCCCCCATCCATTGACGGGGACGGGAATGCTGAAGGACCTGCAGCAGCAGCAGCAGAAGCAGCAGGGAAAGGAACAGGAGGAGCCGCGTTATCGTCACCGGCGCTGAGTGCGTCCTCTGAACAGCCTCAGCTGTCGCCGCCGCCGCTGCGGCAGCAGCAGGAGGAGCAGCAGCAGGAGCAGCAGGAGGATGAGGGAGGACTGATGCTGTCTCGTTTTCCTTTGGAGCTCTCTGCTGCGTACGACGCTTCAAGCCCTGATGAGCTGGCTCTAACTGCAGCAGCAAAACACTTGGGCGCTGAGTTCATCTGCAGGCCCAACTTAAACACCATTCAGCTCGCGGTTCGCTCCGACTTTGCTGCGGAGGCCCTTCTGAGCGAAGCAGATCGCGCGACAGTTCGCACCCTCATGGACACCTACCAACAGCAACAGCAACAGCAGCAAGGGAAGGGGGAGCAGCCGGAGCAGCAATCAACCGAGCAGCAGCAGCAGCAGCAGCAGGAAGCGGGAGTTGTGCCGGTGGTGAACATAGAGCTGCTGGAGGTTTTGGAATTCGATAACTACCGAAAGCGCATGTCCGTGGTGGTGAGGGATCGTGATGGGCAGCTGCGGCTGCTGATGAAGGGAGCAGACACCAGTGTATTTGCTGCTGCTGCAGCAGGACAGGAGGAAGCAATTGCTTCCTGCAAGGTGCAGCTAAGCGAAATGGCGCAGCGAGGACTTAGGACCCTTGTACTTGGCCAGCGATTCGTCACTCCGAAACAATTCAAAAAATATCAGGAAAGCAGCCACGCGAATTAATCCTGCTGCTGCTGTTGCTGTTGCTGCTGCTACTGTGTTCTGCTTGGAGCGGCAGTTCTGGTTGCTGTCGAGTCACTGGGGGCCAAGCCCTGCTGAAGGCAGATCCTAAGGATTGAGCCCGAAAGTACCCAGTTGAGGGTTTAGGTTTTAGGGTTTAGGGTTTAGGGTTTAGGGTTTGAGTGCAGGCGGAGTTGCTGGCCGCAAAGGACCAAATAGGAGAAGATCGCGAGGCAGCAGTTGCTGCGGTGTTTGCACGGATGGAGCGAAACATTGAAGTGCTGGGTTGTACAGGGATCGATGACAAGTAGGGTTTAGGGTTTAGGGCTTAGGCTTTATTGTTTGTACCGTTTTTTGTTGCGATATCTCGGTTGATCTAGTTTGTGTTGTCGCTCTTTACCGTTCTTTAGTTGTTCGTTCGTATTTGTATACTTTGTGGTGCCTTTTCTTATTTTCGCTGCGTGGTTCCTCTCTCTTTTCCCTCTCTAGGCGTGGCGTACCTACGCTTTCCCTCTCTTTGTATTTGTTTACCATATCTTTTTGGTTGTTTGGCTTGCTGTTGCTCTTAAGGCTGCAAGACGAAGTGGTCGAGACGATAGCAGACGTGAAGGCGGCGGGGGTGAAGGTGTGGGTATTAACTGGAGATAAAGTCGAAACAGCAATTAGCATTGCTCATAGCTGCAGCCTTCTTACGGACTCGACCTACAATGCTGTTGTAGACGGAAAGAGCCAGGCAGCTGTTCGCGAGCAACTCCACCAATACATGAATTATGTAGTCGCAGCGCAACTCGCCGCCGATGCGTTTGAAGCCATTTCTTTCCGATCTGTGAGGACTTCTTTTAATTTTTCCTCTTTTCCTTCTTTTCTTTCTTCTGATTGTTCTTGCCTATGTTATTGCTGCCGTTGTTGCTTTTGTCTCCTATCGCTATGCTGCTGGTCTTCGTGGTTGGCGGTTGCTGCCCCTGCTATTATTCTCCTTCTCCTTTCGGGCGTTGTCCTCTCCGTCTTCGCCTTTTCTGACTTCTTCTTTGCTTCTCATTGCTTCCCCTCCTATTCGTTCTTTGCTTGTTTGGCTCTTTCTTCTTACTTGTATCTTCCCCTTTCTTCTTTTGTTTCCCTTTTCGTGTGACTGTGACGTTCTGTTTTTGTTTCGGGGGTTATGTTCGCCTTTCCATGTCTTTGGCTTTCTGTTACCCCACTAGTCTCCTTCCCTCCCCTTCTGTTTCATTATCTGTCAACATGTATTTTCTCTGTCTTTCCATTCCTCTGTCCTGCTTTTCTGTCTGCCGCTCTATTTCTCTGGTTTTGTAGCGTTGGGTGCACCTTCCTTGCACTTTCTTGGTGTTCCTTTACTTCCTTCTTTGTGTTTCGTTTGCTCTTTGTTTGTGCATTGCATTTTAAATGTGAGGCTAAGCTGCCTCGTTGCAGCAGCAGATTCGGTGCCTGTGTCTTCACTGAATTTTGCTTCTTCTGCAGCTGCAGCAGCAAGCTTCCGACGTGAGCGAGGAGCCGCGCAGCGTGACCCCTGACCAGCAGCACCAGCAGCAGCAGCAGCGAGGTTCGCGCTGCAGCAAGGCTCCAGCGATTTGCTTCCGTGCTCCATTAACAGGGGCCGACAGCGCAGCGATGCGCAGACCCCGAAAAGCGGAGCCGCCGACTATTCCTTGGGATGCCTTTGTAAAGATTCTGACGTTCAATGCCACAAAGAAAGTCGTCAAAACTGACCCGAAACAGTGCGTCGAACTAGGGTTTAGGGTTTAAAGTTTAGGGTTCCAGGTGTTGAATTACGGGTGCAGGGTTTAGGGTTTCAGGCTGATTCTCATGTTTCAGCTAAGGGACCTCAGGTAACGGATATAGGGTTAAGCGTTGAGGGCGGTTTGGGGTTTGCATTTAGGCGACGAAACAAGCGGCTGTCTCCCCAACAGGTGGAAGACATCGTTCAGGAGTATTTGGAGCACTTTGAAAGGGAGAGCGATGAAGGGAAGGCGCGCGAGAGAAAGGCTCGCAAGACAGCAGCGAGGAGAAAGAGTTTAGGCCGCACAAAAAGCAAACTTGGCTCAGCGCCGCAGGCAGACCAAGCAGCAGAAACAGCGGGAGCAGCAGCAGCACCGGCTCCTGCGGCTGCTGTTACTGATGCTGCTGGTGCGCCCGACGCGGCTCATAAGCTCCCTGAACTCCGACACATCCCTTCTGCATCAGCAGCAGCCGCTTCTGCAACAGAAACACGAGAGGAGCAGCAGCAGCTGCTGCCCGCGCGCTCTGGCGCTGGGATAAATGCAATGGACAGAAGGCAGCAGCTGTCAAGCGCTTGCACAGATATCCCAGCGGTCCAGGGCTACCAAGAGTACGTTCCAAGGGTTTATGCTTTAGGGTTTAGGGTTTGTTGCTGCCGGGGTCTCAGGGTGGCTGGAGCTTTTGGGTTTGTTGTTGGCGGCTACGGCGGTTTCCTTGCTAAGGGTTGGCTTGAAGTTTAGGGTTTGGGGTTCTTGGTTTAGGGTTTGGGATTTAGGGTTTGGGGTGTGTGGACAGGTGCGCGATAACTATAACGGGGGAGGCATTGACGCATGCGTTGTCTACTGCGGAGAACCGGCGGTATTTCTTTGGTTTGGCTTCGCTCTGCAATACCCTCATTGCCTGTCGCGTCTCGCCTAAACAAAAGTCTGAAGTTGTGCACTACTGCCAGAGGTGAGCAGGAAGGGTTTATTGTTTGTTGTTTAGGGTTTAGGGTTTGCAGACCCACGGCACAAAGCTGCAGGAGAGTGAGGTATGCGCGCAGCAACGCAATGGTGGAGCTGCTAGGGCTTAGTGCTTTAGGGTTTTGCACGGGGGTTTATTCGTCGGGTGTACTAGGTTTAAGTACGAGGGTTTGTAGTAGGGTTGATGCGTAGTATTACCGTTCATTGCTTAGTAGTAACTGCGGTTCATTAAGCTTTTTACTGGGGTTTATTAGTAGGGTTTGCTAGGGTTTTTGAGCAGGGTTTTTTGGGCAGAGTTGAGTATCAGGGTTTACAAGAATGCAGCGTTTTCTTGAAAGGTTTATCTTTGGGGTTTATTACCCGGATTTTCTAATGGATTTTATTGCGAAGGTTTATTATTGGCGTTTATTATTAGGGTTGTTTACTAGGGTTTCCCTTTATGGTTTACTCTTTGGGTTTCCACTTAGGGTGGGGTTGACTACTGGGGTTCAGGGTTTAGGTTTTATGGTTTGTGCAGGTACCAGAGCAACACGGTCTCTTTAGGAATAGGAGACGGAGCGAATGACGTGGGAATGCTGATTGCAGCAAATGTTGGTGTTGGCATTCGGGGCAAAGAAGGTCTCCAAGCTGTACGAGCAGCCGACTTCTCTATTCCGGAATTCAAGTCAGTTAGCACATTGTTTGGCTGCTTGTTTATTTGTTTGTATGCTTACTTGTGTGTTCGCTTCCTTGTTTGTTTGTCTGTTTGGTCGTTGGTGTGTTTGGTATTTCTGTCGCTTTGGGGGTTAGGTGTCTCGTTGTCTGTGTATTTGTTTGCTTCAAATTTCATCTGCTCGTTTGCTGTGTGTGTTGTACGTTCGTTTGTTTTTAGTTTGTTTTGTTTGCTCACTGCTCATTGATCTCCGGTTTTCAAACCTTTTCCTTCTTTTTGTCCCTAATTTGCTTGTTTTTGTTTGTTTGTTTTTTAGTTTTATTTGTCGAATTTGTGGCGGAGGCGTTTCCTTCCTGTGTTGCATGCATTGCCTGCTCGCCATTTGCCTTCTTTTTCTTTTCCCTTGTGTCTCACTCTCTCTCTCTTTTCGATGCTTTCTTTTGCTTGCCTTCGTCGCTTTTCTTACCGCTCTTGCATATTCTTGCCATTTCCACCGTTTCCGCTTCTATCTCTTTCGCCGCTTGTTTGTATCTTTCCTTAGTATTCCTTCAGTTTCGTTCGTCTTCTTTCTCTTCGTCGCGGCTGTCTTTTTTTTGCTCCCTCTATCATGTTCTCTGATGTGCCGTTGCATTTTGTTTCTTTCTGTCTTTTCTGCTGTTTCTTCTTTAATACCAGTAGAGCAATAACACATACATGCTTGTAGAGGGGGCCTTTGATGGAGATTTTCTCGTTGTCTTCTCCGCTGTTTGTATTGGGGGCGCTGCTTTGTTATTGCATCTCAGTTGATGTTATTGGGTCTGAAGGTTGAATATACTTTTTTCTGCTTCTCGTCGAGTTAGCTGCATGGCTGCATGCACAGAGGACGTACTCTATGCTTTTTGCATACTCATCGTGCTCTTTATTTCTCATGCACATGCATTTATTCGCTTGTTTTGGTGTAGGTACCTGAAGAACCTTCTTTTCTGTCACGGTGCTGAGGCACTTCGCCGCAATTCGTTTCAAATATATCAAACAATTTGGAAAAATGTGGTATTTGGGCTTGCGGATTTTTTCTACGCCTTTGTCTCGGCCTGGTCCGCAGCGGATCTTTTCAACTCTTGGTTGAAGCAGCTATTTAATGTCCTCTACACTACCTTGCCTGTTGTTCTTTACTCTATTTTTGATCGCCAACTACCCATGGAAGTCACGCTCCAAACGCCCGTCCTCTACCCGGCCTTTGCAAGTGAGGCGGCGCTGTCCATACACCGCAGCAGCAGATGCAGGAAAACGAAAATAAAGACAGAAAGGCACAGCATTTCAGGATCTGTTGCTGACGTGATCCGGGGCCAGCAAAGGCGGATTATATGCACTTCAGTGCTTGTGCATGCCGCAGCAAAAAAACACTGCTTCTGGGTTATTCAAATATTTGTTCGACGTATTTCGGTTTGTTTGGTGCCTCTTTTTGCGTCTGTATGCAGAACTGGGGGTTCAGCGCTTTGCAGGGGCGGGGCTGTTTTGGCGTTGGTTCGTGTACGCGCTGTTTACGGCATGTTGTTGCGTTTTTATTCCTCTTTACGGCCTCGGATGGGGCCTTGGAAATTCGCATAAAGAAGGACATTTGGCCTTAAGCGTTCGGTTTGAAGGGAGTTGCGTCTTTTGGGTGATAATTATGGTGAGCGTTGCATACAAACGCGCGTTTTTTCGTTGCGTCTGAATAGTATTGACAATAGTAAAACGCGAAATTATTAATTAGCGTTCAATTTCCTTTGTTGAAAGGAGAATTCGTCTGATAGGTTTGAAGGGTGCGTGCAGATTTGTGGTGTATGCGCAGGTCTGCAACTTGATCATCATTCCGTATTTGCACACGTGGTTTTGGTTTATATGGCTGGCCGTCTTTTTGGATTTTGGGTTTTGGTTTCTTTCCGCCGGAGTTTGTCCTTTAGTTCCTGGTGATTACTGCCCAGATTTATACGGAGCTCTCCGAGCTACGCATTCCCTCAGCCGCCACTATTTTTCAGCCTTGTTGGCGGTCGTGGTGGTGCTGATGCCTCCCTTTTTGAATTGGTTTTACGTGGTGAGTTGAATTTGTTTGCATGAATGGGTTTGCTGTAAATAAACTTTTGCGTTCCTTCTTGTGCGGCAAGGAAGAAAAAAATTTGCGGAGTGCTCAGACCACTCGAGCGATCCTCAGGGGAGTCACGGTGGAATTTGGATATTTTGGGATTTGTATGGTTACTTTTTTGTGCTTTCTTCATTTAGACAATGTTTAGACCCTCCGCCCAGTGCATCATTCGTGAGCGCATTGCCTTGGGCGTATTCGACGTTGTGGTGGCGCCGAGAGGAAACGCAAAGACGGTCGTGGTGGTGCCGAAGACACACAGCGAGGAATGGAGAGGATACGCATTTTCAGAGCAGGTAAGCTGTCTGCTTCCTTCTACTTCTGGCACAGGCATTCCATTGCACGGCAGTAGCGGTAGCAGCAGCACAGATGCGCAGCAAGGTGCGAAACGGCAGGAACATCAGCGTGAAAACTGCAGCAATAGCAGCAGCAACTGCAGCAGCAGCTGGAACAAAGCCGATTTTGTGGGGTCTTGGGGCAAGCAGTCGTTGGTGGTGGTTGCTGTACAGCTTCGTTGTGCTCTTTTGTTTGTTGCTTGCTGCTCTTAGGACCGCACTCGTCTTGGGCATCATCGTCTGTCTATGATGCAATATGAGTATAGTTCTTCGAACTCAGGGAAAGGAGAAATGTTGCAAACACCTGCTGCTGCTGCTGCTGGCCGCCCTCCGTGCAGAGCGCAGCTTCAAGCAACAAGCTTCCGTCCACGCAGCAGCAGGAGCAGCAGCACTATGCAGCAGCAGCAAGAGCAGCCCGATGCTGTTGCTGCTGCTCCATCATCATCTTCCGTCGCAACGAATGCAGCAGCAGCTGGCGCAGCAGGCCAGCGGTGAAACACTTGCGGGTCTAAGCAAAGCATTTAGATACAAACAGACATGCGAAAAGAAGCAAATTGAACAACAATACACAAACAGTACACGCAGAAAAAACACTAACCTTCACATTTGGGGGCTTGTTAGCGAAGAAGCAGTTCAGGATGAAGCAATGGAAGCCTGTCTCTCCCTTGTGCTGCTGCTTACCAGAGCAGCTACCTCGCTGCCTAGGCAGCTAGCTAGCTCGGCAGCTAGCTAGCTAGCCAGCTAGCTATGTACAATACCTTTGCTGGCTTGTGCTGCTGCGGTAGCGCCGCATACTTCTGGTCAATTTCTGCCCGTCCTGCAGTTGCTGCTACAGGTGTGTTTGGTGGTGCTGGTGGTGTGGTTCCTACTTTGGGTTGTCTATGGCACTGTATTACAACTGTACTTCTGCTTATATGTGTATGCATAAATCGAGGAATCGAGTGTATATGCGTACACATTTGCACATATGAATAAGCTGTTCATGGGTTCTCCTTACTCCCTTAGACAGACACGACTGTTCAGTGTACGGACAGCTCCCTCAATGGGGCAGTGCAGCTTTTCATAATTCAAGGGGGATTGGAAATACAATGCATGCAGTAGAAACACAAAACAGATAATGTAGCAATGAAATAGTACAATAATAATTAATATGCAGTATGTAAGCAGCTGCACGCACACCTGCAAAGAACAGCAGGAACAGCTGTCTGGCTGTGGTTGAGTGAGCCCTCTGCACCTGTGCACTGAGTAGGAGAGTATGGGCTGCCTTTGTCTGCAATGCTTTTGAAAGGAAAATCAAAAGAATAAATAAACAACAAAGCAAATACTAACTCAAAACGAAAAGCAATATATCGGTCTTCTCATCGGCTTCTAACAGGGGGGCAGCAGTATACACAGACACTGGCTGGCAGAGCTCTGTAGGCTTTAAGTCAAATATCTCAATAATAGATATAAATTTATAATTTTGTGTGATTATTAAAAGCATTTAAATGCAATTACCTCCTCAAATGTGATACTTTAACTCTTGGGGCGCACGTTTTTCCTTGCTCCTGCAGCAGCGGCAGCAGCCACCATTATAACTCACCTCAGCGAGCCTCTCTGCATGCACGCGCAAAGACGAACGCATGCAAAGGCAAGCCTCTGTAAAGCTTTCGATTACCCCTTTTCAAGACTTTTTACAACAGCGGTAGGACCCCCAGTCGCCTGCTGTTGCAGTAGACAGCTGCTCCTCAGCCACACCGCCACCGTCAGAGAGCAGCAACAACAGCAGCAGCAGGAGCGGCTGCAGCTGCTGCAGTCTCAGCAGCAGCAGCTGCAGCGAACACCAGAAAGACATCGAAGACTCATATATCTGTGCTTTTTGCACTGCCCGGCTCCACACACGCCTGCTGCTGCGGGGGCTGTTGCTGCTGCTACGGCTGCTGCTGCCGTTACGGCTGCTAATGGATGGCC